AACTTCCGTAAAATCGAAAAGTTTCGGCCACCGCAAGTGCCACCAGACGGCGGGCGCCGTGCTGGTCTGTCTTCTCGATAGATAAATGGCTGCAAAAATACGAAAAATGGAGATTTTACCTTCAATCTTCCAGTTCAACCACCAGATTCCAGCCCTCTTCGCGGTGCTTTTAGGGCCAATCTGTTCTTTTCATCAGTGTAAAAATCGCACACGCGGAATATGCGCTCAGACTGCCCTCTAAATGCAAGATCTGATGTCGTGAAGCGTCCGAGGATACTTTTTCAGAAACGCCGTCATTTTCGTCCACCCGTTGGCCACAACCTAGTATTAGTTGCTAGGCCGACGCTGCGCGGCCTACGGAGGCTGCAACGCCTGGGGTCGAAGCTTGTGTTTTTGAGATTTTTGAGTGCATATGTTCAAAACTGCGTTACATAACTTGTGTTACAAGCCGATTTAAGTTTCAAAGGTTATCATTTTAGAAGTGTCACCATTTTCGTCCACCGGTGTGCCATGGCTAAGAGTTAGCTACTGGGCTAACGCTCCGCGGACTGCGGATACTGCAGCACCTGGTGTCGGGGTTTGATTGGTAGGATTTGATTTGAAATCATTGCCAAGATTTGCGGGCGCGCATGTTAAAAAGCACGTTACATGAGTTGTATCACTAATCGATTCTGACTGACTGGTGAACATTTTCAGACAAACATGGCTTGGCCAAGTTAATACACATTTGGATCAAACACATCAATCAACAATCTACCTTCGCGATGTCCTCACTGTCTGTGAAATTCAGATAAAGATTCTTTCAAAGGTTCTGAATGTTATCGGTTTAGAAAGAATCAACTAACCATTGGAAATTAAGGCGTCGGTGATTTATTCCATGCAGTCGTCCAACGCCCGATTTCTGCTGTTTATTGACCTCAAAATACAAACAGAATTGAGCTCACGGTAGCTCCTGGTTTCTGTTCTGGATGCGAGGTAAACATAGCAATAAAACGGAGAAAACCGCGTCACTTGTGAACAAGTAAGCTATATCCGGGGATATTTGGGGGGGGGGGATCACCATAAGATGGGCTTTTGTCAACCTTGTGCTCCCCTTGGCAGGGCCCTGGCTACGCCCCTGACTACACACAAAAGCAGATCAAGTCACATACGTTGTATGCTGGGCAGTGAGGTGTCCGTTGGGCCAATGCATACCTAAGGCAGACAGCTTCCCGGAGGCTATTTTTCTGCGATAGTGTGATGTGAGGGGAGATAATTCGGAAAAAGATGCTGTCGTAGCTGTCCAACACATGTTTCATACACCATGTAGTAGTAACGCTGATCCAAAAGTATGCAACAAAGCAGTCATACGATCAGTTCGCAGTCAGTCATGCGGGAGACATTCAGGCCAGGGCGGTGGTCACCCAAGGTGGACAGCAACAGGGTCCAGATAAGGAACATATGGCAGATGGGCCCTATTAGGTGGCTTGGTTCTTAAAAGAGAATCTGCAGTCTCGTGGCTTTTTCGCCTCGTTTCTGGCAGATTCAAGCTCCCGAATCTGTTTCTGCCTAAAATGCTGCTGCAAGTCTTATCTCCTGAAAATCACCCAGTGAAATCAAGGCGCAGGAAAAATCTGTCGCACTGTGAGCCATCGATTCACTTTCAAAATTGTCATCAACCTACATCCAGGTCGTATTTTGGCATCTACACTGTGGGGGCAGATGCTTCCTCAATGACCCAAAATGCCTATCCGCTCGTGGAATTTCGCCTCCCCAGGAAAGACAATGTTAAAATGGATGAATAATACTGGGAAGCTGGATAGCCTTGTTTGCCGAATGACAGATGAGTCGAATAGGCAAGATTGTACACCAGTGAGAAACAGCTCTAGATGCATATTTAGCATAGCGGCCATGACATGTGAATACAGAGCGATAACAACCTCCATTCCTAACCCCTCCCGCCCCCTCCCCCCCTTCCCCGGTCATCGGGCTCACTTTCCAGAAAGACTTGCTGAAGTACACCCTGAGCTTGCCCCCCCCCCCCCCCACCACTTTTGCAAACGTTCCTACGCCTATGCCCTCGATGTTGCGGCGGACATGTTCAAACCTTTCGAAGTGATTTGTTTTACCAATCCATTCTGAAAAATGAGCTTTCTCAGGCAAACATGGGATGGCCTTGCTCGCATTTTTTGCTTATTTCTATTAATAAGTAACGAGACCTTCAACTCTACTGAACAATAATGAGAACCCTCATTTCCTTTCGGGCAAGGGAGACCTTGAGTGGAACACCAGGGACACTTTACCGTTTCCGGTCAAGGGCTGACAGGCCATTCCGTCCAATCGCAAAGTATCTTCTGGCTGTCATTCTGGCGACACGGGGCGGAATGTCCTGTTTAGCCCGGAGGTCATTAGAAGGATATATCGCATTGCATTGTCTCCCGCCCTGATACGGGACGCGTTCTGACCAGCGCAGGATCAGCACAGGGACACTCATTGACGAAACAACATAATTGATCGCCGCAGGTGGTCCAATCATTGTCGCATAGACTCCAGTTCCATGCTTTTTTCCTCCGTTCTTCAGAGATATTAAGGACTCCCTGAACGTAGATTGCAGCCCACATGGGATCCCAAAGTTGCATTAACACGGCCAATCCATGTTCGTCTTAGAATGTCCAAGATTCAGTCTGAATTGAAAACTGATAAAAAAGCTATGTAATATGGTTTTGGACACACACACTCGCAAGTCAGCTATAGGAAAAGGGACTCGGTGCCCGGCGCTCCAATGTTCGTATGACGCGCGGCATCGGCCCTGCGGCTGCGACACTAAGCGATGGCCAATGAGCAAACGAAAAGATGAGTGGTGAACGAAGTAAATGGGCATATATGTTGAATGCAGTGCAAATGAAACGAAACACAGCCTTTATCTGAAAGGTGGGGGGGGGGGGAGGTAGCTCACATTGTTGCCCCCCCACCTTGAAAAGTGGGGGGCATTGCCCCCTGCCCCCCCCCCCCCCCCTGTTGCTACACTCGCAAACATACAGACGGACAGTGGATGGCATTTGGTGCTACGTTCGTCATCTTCAGAACTGTATGTTTTGCCTTGACCCATCAGCTGTGTTAGGGAGCAAACGGGCCGTTGCTGCCGGCGCGGCGGCGGCGTCTCCGCGATGGTGTGAGCGACCCCTCTGCCGATTGGTCCCCACCATCTGGAGCCCATATGTGGGCCACGTGGGTTTATGGAACACGCGGGCAGGGACGCACGGTCTCAGGCTATCAGTCCACGTTCATGTTCCGACGGCGCGGCTCGACGCGAGCCGCGTCAGCGTTTACAACGACGACGACGACTTCGGAGTGTGCGACGCCGCCCCTCCAACGCCTCTCTTACCTTCACTTTGCAACTCTTTGGATAATAGAGACTCTTCCTTTTCAACGTCTGTTTTCAAATCAAGTCGATGGTCCTCCGGAAAACTAACGAACTCTTTCACACGAACAAGCTGGATTCACGCAGTCTAGTTCTACGCAGTCTGACTTACCTTGCTTGCGGTCGCAGCTGTTCATGAAATTGAGCCAATCCGAATTAAATGGAGCAGATATGTTACAAGCATGAATAACACTTGGTCATATTATTGTTCAAATTTCAGAGCACATATTCGCCGATCAAATTCCAGGTGACAGGTGTGGTCACGTACAAGAAAGATCGGACATGCGATGTTATTTCACGGTGCGCAAAAACAAATGTGTGAAACTGTCTGTCTATTTGACCCATTTGGTTTGACGGTCCTGCCACAGACCCGTCTAGCGTTTCGATAGTGGCTTCTCGATTATCTTTTGCTTTTCCTGTTTTCTTCTTTCGTTAGCACCCAGTGTCAGACATCAGAGAGGAGATCCTCCGCGTATGTGCTGACGCTGATAGCATCTGTTGGTCGCCTCGTGAACTGCAATCATGAAGTCAAGAATAAAAAAAAAACACACCCGTTATGTTTTTCATCTGATGGCTGGCATGCATCGCATTATGGATTGGTTTCTGTACAGGTTTGCTGGACCCATTTTTCGAGTTGCATGTTTAACAACGTATTGTACGATAGAAATAAGAAAAATACAATTGCACCATTAGCAGGGACCGTAAACGGAGTACAAAGCCAACTTCATTTGTCCATACCAAGCTAGCTCCGGCATGTTCCGGATCAGCTAGATAAGTGATCAGTGCGATATTCTGAGTTCTTTGCGCCAGTATTTCAAGTAATTGTGCAATACCTCGCGATTTGCAACAGACAACGAAATGACATCCTATTTGGTAATGCGGGCAGAGTCGCCTGTATACGCGATCCAAAGTTGGCGCTGGTCCGGTGGCTCTGTCTAAACTTTTTTGCTTTGTATACCTTCCATTGGCTTAACGTTGGCAACGCATGAACTCGTGACAAACCCCAGCTATTTCCAGAATCAATCGCAACTCAGAGGTAGCTTCCGCAGAACGGGGTTCCCAGTTTCTCAACATCACAAAACATTACGCTTGAGCAAGGCTGGTGGAGTGCGATTTTGGAAATCTGAAACAGGAGCAGCGGGAACATTCATAAGCTGTCTAGGAGAGCGACCGAAGACATCGAAGGCATCTCTTTTCCAGCAATCTCATAGGGTAAATGTCATTTCTTAGAATGTTCAGGGTGCCAGCACGATTGCCTAGCACTCGGGTGGCGCCCTCTGGATTAAAATATAGATGGAATACAATGGATCGAAGGATTCAACAGTTGCACACCCATTACCGCGTCGTCTTGAACCCAGCTTTCCGGCATGTCTGTAAATCCCGTAATGGCCTGATCTAGGCCGCCGCCCGCCCACCCCGCGTCCAGCACGCGGCTGGTCAACTACCCTGTGCCCGGAAGTGGGCCGGCCCACGCCACCATCTGGCCAATCAGGTGACGCAGTGAAGCTGACGTCATATGGCTGGAAGAGCCGGTTGTCCGCTCATTCGGGCTATTCGTGGTGAATAGCGGAGCTGGGCCCCAAGGCCAGTGCGGCTTGGCTGGCGGGCGTCGGTGGCAGACAGCCGAGACGGTGGAGTGTGTTATTTCAGGCAGACCAAGTACTTGGCCGGCAGGGTGAATTGTTGCAATTCAAGGTCCGCCTCGGCTTTGCCGTTACATGGACGTGTGTTACCGCGTGGCAATTCGGGGCCTTCATCGCTGGAATTATCCCGTATCGTGTTTATTGTCCGTGTCCGCGTGGTGAAAGTGAGACACCGAAACCTCGCCGTTCGACAGTTTCCCAGACGGAGACGGAGCTGGCGGTAGTAGCGTGCGGGTAAGCTACAGACCTTGCAGGCCTGTGAGGTGAGAAGCTGGAGGCGCTTGGATGAACTGAGGCGCTGTCCGTCTGTACGTGAACCCCTCGCGCCCGGACCCGCTCGGTCCGGTTGAGAACGACCCGCCGGGTGCCGGAATGCGGCCGCGTTGCGCGTGGCCGGCCGCGGCGGTGGCGGCGGTGCTGTGGGCGGCGACGCTGGCGGCGACCGACAGCTCGGACATGAGGGGCCTCATCTCGCTCGTCGATGGCGACCTGGCGGCGCGCAACGTGACACCGTGCAAGGAGCACCTGTGCCGGGCGGACGGCCGCCGGCCGCGGCTCGCCGACAGCTGGATCGAGCACGGCTGCTTCTGCGACGACGAATGCGCCACGTTTGGCGACTGCTGTCGGGACGCGTCCGGCGCCGGCGGTGCTGCGCGTCCCGACCTCACCTGCGCTGCGCTGCGCCACTACGGCGGCGTGTACATGGTGTCGCGCTGCCCGCCCGGCTGGCGCGGCGAGGAAGCGCGGCGCCGCTGCCAGCGGCCGCCGCCGCTGGCGCAGGACCCGCTGGCCGCCATGCCGGTCAGCAGCCCGGCCAGCCGACTGACCTACGCCAACGTCTACTGCGCCACGTGCCACGACGACGCGGCCGGCGCCGTGCTGTGGCAGCCTCGCATCGAATGTCCGACAGTGCCAGCCGCCGCCGATCAGCCGCAGGCCACCCAGCGGCTGCGCCAGGACGGCACCGGCCACTGGGGCGTGGCGCTGCTGACCGACGGCGGCGGCGAGACCTTCCACCCGTGCGAAGTGGATCCGTTCATGCCGGAGACTGTGGAGCATTTCGTGCGCCGTTGCCGGACCGCCGTGGACGCCTGCGCCGCCGACTGGGCCGACCTGGAGGTGGCGGCGCTGTGCGGTGCCTACAACGCGCACGCGTTCGATTCCAATCGCCGCGCGACGGACGGTCCGTACCGCAACCCGCACTGCGCGCTCTGTAACGGCGTGCCGGCTGCGGACCTGCTGTGCGTGCAGGGCCTGGACGTCCGCCAGCTGCGGCCGCGCAACAACTTCAACCTGCGCGCCTTCTCCATCCTGCTGGACGTCAACGACCAGTCGGGCAGCGAGGTGGTGGGCGCGGTGAGCGTGTGTCCGCCCGGCCGCCTCTGGGACCCGTTCTTCAAGAAGTGCCGGGACGTACTGTGTGACGCCGGCTTCCGTCTGGAGGGCGACACCTGCGTCGCGGTGGAGGTCAGCCGCAGCCTGGACGCCATCGTGTTTCCCGACAGCGGTAGCGGCCCCCGCCGCAACAACATTAACAACAACGACAACAACATTAACAACAACAACGGCGACGACGACGATGAGGCGCGGTCGTCCGACTTCCAGCTGTGCCCCAAGTACTACCTTGAGCCGGGCGAATTTTCGCCGGCCGCCAACGGCTCCGTACATGTGCCGTTGTACAAGCGACACTACGCGGCTGGCGAGTACGAGCTGCGCGACGGCGAGCTGGTGGTGTGCGCGCTGACGCAGGACTTCGGCAAGTTCGACAGTGCGCTGTCGTACGTGTCGATTGTGTTCCTGGCCGCCTCGATCCTGTGCCTGTTCTGCCACCTCGTGGTGTTCGCGCTGGTGCCGGACATTAGGAACATGTCGGGCCAGAACCTGGCGTCGCTCTGCGTCTGCCTGCTGCTCGGCTATATCTGCTTCATGGCGGCGCCGTTCCAACAGCCCGGGAGCGGCGGGTGCCGCACGCTGGCCATCGTCATGTACACCGCCTTCATCGCCTCCTTCTTCTGGATGAACGTCATGGCCTTCGACGTGTTCATCACCCTCAGGTGGGTGATAGACTGCGGAAGGTCGAGTGGACCGTGGAGACCACCAGCGGTGCGCGCGACCGGTCCTGCACTGCTGTTAACCGCTCAAGATATGGGTGTCTGATTGCCTTCAGCATAGTAACTTTGATAAAGTTCACGTCGCAAACAACTTCACTGGCACTGGTTGTGTATTAGTAATTAATGTAATCATACTAATAATGATAACAGTAGCAAGTTTCTTAGACACCATATTCTGGAGTATTGAACACCCGGGAGCCATAACTTCACCACACTTCTCATCAACAACACATCATAACACTTCCACAATAGAACTCCTTCACAACACTCCTCCAGCCGTCTCCCACGTGCTCATTCAGCCGCTGTGCGTTCAGATCCCCAGCTTGCGACAAGCCACCATCAACCGAGCACGTTTTACACCCGTGGCGGCGTTCGTTTGACCCCTGGACTCCGGCCCGCAGGCAAGCGGTGACCGAGCTGCGCGTCTCGGAGGGGCGCAACCTGAAGCGGTTCGCGCTGTACGCGCTGTACGTGACGGCGATGGCGGGCGCGCTGCTGGCCGCCGCGCTCGCCACCGACGCCGCCGAGGACGCCGCCGAGCCGTACCGGCCCGGCTTCGGCGAGCGCGTCTGCTGGTTCAGCCGGCGGCGCGCGCTCATGGTGTTCTTCGCCGTGCCGCTCGCCGTCGTCATGGCCGCCAACGTGCTGCTGTTCGTGGGCAGCGCGCGCCTGCTGCGCCGGACGGCCCGCTCCACGGCCCATCTCACCTGTGCGCCCTCCAAGGTGAGAGGAGGCTCGCGCGGCTGTGGCACCGCGGGGCAAGGCTGGGGGTGGTGCTTGTGAGCTAGAACGGCGTGCTTTGAGCATGTGTCTGTGCAGGTATTGACCGATAACCCCGTTCTGTTCCACGCGCTGACTCTGCTCTCCTTACGTCAGGTGGGCCCACACTAATGCCGCACTTTGACTGTCAGGTCAGCAATGTCACTTTGAAATCGGTGGGAAGGGGTTAGTCGCCCAGCCCATGGCATGTGACAAGTTGCCCTCGAAACCTTACCATCTGTCTTCTTTCCGGATCGGCGCGACCGGGACGAGGGGGGGGGGGGGCAGCTAGCCCACCAATAAGGTCAAGTGCCGCTTTCGTGCCTGACGAACCAGAACCCTGCCCTCTGGCTGTTAGTTGAACCAGTTCTGACCACTCCCTTCGACCGTCAGTTGATTAGTTCTGGACACGCTTTCTGACCGTTAGGAAAACCGGAGCTGACATCGCCCTCCGACCGTCAGATGAAGCTGTTCTGATCACTTCTCTGACCGTCAGACGAACCCGTGCTGACTCCGCCCTCTGACTGTCATTTGAACCTGTGCTGACTCCGCCATTTTTAGATGAATCGCAATAACCCCGCCCTCTGACCGTCAGGTGAACCTGTGCTAACCCAGCCGCCTGGCCATTAGGTGCACCCTGGCTAACCTCTCCTGATGTGACCTTCAGGTGAACTGGTGCTGACCCCGTCGTCTGATCGTCTGGTGCACCCTGGCTAACCTCGCCTGATGTGACCTTCAGGTAAACCCGTGCTGACCCCGTCGTCTGATCGTCTGGTGCACCCTGGCTAACCTCGCCTGATGTGACCTTCAGGTGAACTCGTGCTGACCCCGCCCTCTGATCATCAGGAGCACCCGTGCTAACCTCACCTGATGTGACCTTCAGGTGAACTCGCGCTGACCCCGCCCTCTGATCATCAGGAGCACCCGTGCTAACCTCACCTGATGTGACCTTCAGGTGAACCCGTGCTGACCCCGCCCTCTGATCATCAGGAGCACCCGTGCTAACCTCGCCTGATGTGACCTTCGGGTGAACCCGTGCAGACCCCGCCCTTTGATCGTCTGGTGCACCCGTGCTGACCCCGTCGTGTGATCATCAGGTGCACCCTGGCTAACCTTTCCTGACGTGACCTTCAGGTGAACTCGTGCTGACCCCGCCCTCTGATCATCAGGAGCACCCGTGCTAACCTCGCCTGATGTGACCTTCAGGTGAACCTGCGCCTGTACTCGCGACTGGCGGTCATCACGGGCCTGTCGTGGGTGGTCGGCCTGGCCGCCGGTTGGCTGGACTTCTCACCACTCTGGTACGCGTTCGTCGTCCTGAACACCCTGCAGGGCGTCTTCATCTTCGTCTCGTTCACTCTGGCGGAGCGGGTGCGCAGCAAGGTGCGCCGACAGGCCTCACGCTACTCCCGCCGGACGGCGGCGCCAGGCGGCGGCGGCCGCAGCAGCGGCAACGGCAGTGGCAGCGGCAGTGGCAGTGGCAGCGGCAGCGGCGGCGGCAACCACACCGACTCCACCGGTCTGCCGCTGACCCGCACCAGGCGGTAGGGCCGCGGCCACAGCAGCTCCGGTTAGGCGCGGCTGCTGTTCGCGTCCACAGCAGCTTTCATCGGGAGCTTCTGAAGGGCTGCGGCTACAGTAACTCCGATCAAGTGCTGCTGTAGGTCCGCAATTACAGGAACTTCTGCCAGACACGGCTCAGTAGCCGCGACTTCATCAGGTCCATTGGTGTACTGCTGTAAGGTCGCGGCTACAGCGGCTCCGACCAGGCATGACCAGGGCCGCGACTACAGCACCTGCCGGGCGCGAAGGCCTGCGACTACAGCAGCTCGGGCCAAGCATGACTGTAGGGCCGCAACTACAGCGCCTGCCGGGCGCGAAGGCCTGGGACTACAGCAGCTCGGGCCAAGCATGACTGTAGGGCCGCGGCTTCATCACCTGCCGGGCACGAAAGCCCGCGACGACGGCAGCTCGGGCCAGGCATGACTGTAGGGCCGCGGGTTCACCACCTGCCGGGCACGAAAGCCCGCGACTACGGCAGCTCCGGCCAGGCATGACTGTAGGGCCGCGGCTTCATCACCTGCCGGGCACGAAAGCCCGCGACTACGGCGGCTCCGGCCAGGCATGACTGTAGGGCCGCGGGCTTACCACCTGCCGGGCACGAAGGCTTGCGACTACGGCAGCTCCGGCCAGGCATGACTGTAGGGCTGCGGCTTCATCACCTGCCGGACACGAAAGCCCGCGACTACGGCGGCTCCGGCCGGGCATGACTGTGTGATCATCGTAGGCAGCCTTTAAGTAACGGCTGTGTTAGGTCGTAAGACGCTCATGAAGGCTCTCATGGGGTACCTCATGGGAAGGGTCTCATCCAGGTACTCCACTGCCTCAGCTCAGCCGAGCGTGAATCCAGGAATCTCCAGAACACTCAGCATGCAATGGACGCCACTCATAAAAAGACAATGGTGTTGAGTGACTGTCGAATCTTCGACGAAAGGAAGGCGTTGTCGTGACGTGCGAGTGCGTGGGAGCCTGTTCCCGTTGGTGGTCGGGTTTCATCTTAGCCGGCTCCTTCGGCTCACAGCGGTGGTCAGCTGTGCTGCGTCGCGCCACGCGGCTCCAGGTGACCTTGGTCGCGACCGGAGGTCCGCGGACTGCGAGGTGAAATAAGTGCTGCGATATTTGCCTGCCGTTGTGTGCTGGGGTATTCCAGGCGAGCTCCTGATGCGTAATGTTCGTGCTCTGTCGTTTTATTAAAAAAACTGTTCACGCCCTCGAGACTCCTTTTCTGCGGAGCGGAGAATTACTAGGCGGGTCGTCCGAATGACTCAGTGGCATTTCAGAGCGATGTTTCCTGTCGGTACGGAACGATCCACTGCGAACGGATCGGCGCAATGACGCACAGAGTGCCAGAGAAACCCGCCGATATGGACCGTTGTGTGCCTATTCATTAGGTTAGGATTTCTGCTGTTGAACTATGTCTGATGCCCGGCTAGCGATGTACAGCCGCGCATGGCGCATCCTAAACAACACACGGGATAGTTACACGATCGCCATATAACTTTCCGGGGGGAGGGGGCTGTGAAGACGGCGTTGAAAAAAAATGCAGCACGTTGCAAGCAGAGCCAGGAATGCCAACTCAAAGGCATTTTACTGACACCGGCCACAGGTGCTGCATCGGAGGAGGGCTGCTAAACTGTTTCTGATGCAACCTAACTCCCTTTCCACGCGAAAGCCTCAACGCAGCACATTGCAAATGACATGTTTTCACTGAAGGTGCTGCGAATTCCGCTGCTGCCATGGACGGGAAAGTGCCAGGCACTGAACCTTGGTCGCCATCGCTCGTGCAATACGTATCGTGTGATCTGCTCGTCAGCACGACTATCGGGTCAAGGTGGTCGGCCTCGCTGCACACGGCACGGCCGGCCAGGAGGCCGCCACTGAGCTCACGGCCGGCCAGCTGCAGCCGAGGCGCGGCTGAAGCCCGTCACCAGGGGCGCAGCCAGAGCCCTGGTGGTGGGGGGAGGGGGGCGGCGCAGGGTTGACAACAAGCTCTTGAAGGGAGTGTTGCACATTTGAGGATACTGAAGCATCAAATATGATGAAATAAGCTCATTTATAACTATCGGTATGCTTTTAAGTGGAAAAGGCTTCTCTCGACAACACGATATTTCTATTTAGTTAGCATGCTCCTCACTGCGTTATGGTCTACGTCATTGTACCTTGCACAGCATTGGGAGCCATTAGCGGTCGTTATACCTGGAAGCTGCGCTCAGGAACGCTACATTTAAATTACTTGACATTTATATTTTTCTTGGCCTTGATCGCCTCACGGCTTATGGAATGGCAGGATTCGAATAGTATTATCATGGCACCATAGGTGCCTGGGCGGCCTTGAAACAGTCTCCTCGAAAAAGCCTTCACACCTTAACGGGCGTATAGCTCAGAAACTGGAGGGGTTTAGGCCGTGAGAAGAGCAGAGCTGTGAACTGCACCGAATGATGTTCAATGTGGTTATTTCAGTTAAAAACCCCATGCAAATGCTATAATGTAGAATGCTCCTTTCATTAGTCAAGCCCTGCTCCTCCCAGAAAGGTACCTGAAAGGCGAACCTAATTTTGATGAGGCGTGGTTTTATTCCTTTCTTATTTCACCTTTTTAATGGAATAGCAGCGAGAAGGTACAGGAATATGTAAATCCGCTCGTATTTCGAAGTAAACTGATAAAAAAATGGCAGTTAAATGACTTGATGGCATAGAATTTCGGTGTCATTCCTTCTGCTATGATTCAGCGGACTCTTTCCAAACCGGTAGCACAGGCTTTGCCCGATTTGGTTTCAGTTGTACAGAAATGTTGAAATTCCCCTGAACGTACAATGGCTATAGAAGAGAAAAAAGTCGCCTCAGACTCGACCAGTGAAAAAAACTGCAACATGGTTTTGAATACAAGCACTCGAAAGCCTCAAAAACAGAACCACGACGCCCGACGTTGCAGTCTCCGTGGGCCGCGCGGGGTTCGCTATGCGGCTAACACCAGGCCGCAGCCAGCAGGTGGACGAAAATGAGTCTGAAGTTTCTGAACGCCTTTGTACGCCTTTAGCGTCAATTCATACGATTTGGGGGTAGTCCGGTAGTATATTTCATCTGCGCAATTTTTAAATTGATAGCAGGGGGGATTGGCATTTTACGGCACTGCGTCTGGTGGTGGAAATGGAGGAGTAGGGTAGAGTGTCTATGCTTTTATGGCTGTCATTAATGACCTGTTCAGAGGGCAATTTCAACATTATTCAGGTAAAATATATGCGTCAGTTTTATCTTTGAACTATGCAAATTGATTTTGAAAGGTCTCCGGGACCTTATTGCACGTCGGTCGTTCTCGCGCGTCCGGCGCGTGTCGCCTGGTGTTACCTGCAGCAGCCCACGGCGTTCCATTTTATGGCAACTGTATCCCTGCCATCGGTGCCCTTGCTCCTAAAATTGCAAGTGCTTAGGCTCGATGTTGTATGTGATTTGTTTCATAGGACAATTCTGAAAAAAATGAACGTCCTAGGCAAACCTGACTTGATCTTTTTTTAATTTTTGACGTAATTTCGGCTCTTTCTGTGAAACACGTATGAGACCGCTTGACTTTCTCCGAACAAGTGGCTCCATGGATAGAACACTGAGGCGCATGATGGCTCCCGGTCATTAACTGAAGGGTCATTCCGCCTCAGCGCGGGATGCCTTCCGGCTGCCATTCTGGGGACGCTGGGTCGGGGTCCGCTAGTCGATCTGCCGGCCCTCAGAGGGATACATCATAGATTGGTCTCATCTGTGACATGGGAGGCCCTCCACTGAAGCAGCGCCCTCATTGATGCAAATGCCTCCTTATCGTCGCAGGAGTCCAATAATTATCACCGAGATTCCAGTTCGGCTTAACGGGCCGTGGCTGAAATGAGTTGGGGCTATTGCTGAGTTGGGGCGTTTGGCTATTGGACCCCTCATTAACACAGGGCCCTTACATTGCCTCAGTGTGGACCCCCGTTATTATATGTTTTCATATCTCCTTTCAATATGAGAGGAACCGATCACAACCAGAGGGATCCTCTGGCATTAGGGGCTCTGTCCATGTTTCTGTTCAGCAAGTGTTCCCCTGACCGACTCGTGACACCTTGTCCACACAGGAACCTCTGAAGGGCCCCTGGCTAGACGCTACAGGGCCCTCCTTTGTCTCAGGGGCCAAGCGGAGCTGACAGTTTGGGTATTGGTGTTGCCTGGCCGAGAAAGAGGTCCTTATCCACTCAACTCACCACCCCCTTCCCCTCCCTCCAACCCAATCGACGCATAGCCTTCTCACTGAGATTTAAGAGCCCGACGCTGCGGGCCAGGACTTTTTAGCACAATCTCCGGCTAGCCCTTCGGGGCCTCAAATCGGGAGCAAGGGGGAAGTGCCCCCTGTGCCTTCTGTCCCCACCCCCTGTCTGCGTCATGGCCCACGACCCGCGGAGCCTGGCCTGACTATGTCTGGCTTTCGTCAGCACCAAACCGACGGAGCTAATTGACGGCCATTGCACGGCATTGCGGCTGGCTGGGGATGATGCAATGGTTAGATCAGGTAACTTTCGGTACGATTGAGTAAACCATCTCTCCGCACACCGATTGGTTATGATGCAAGCACGACGTAGTTGGCCGAGTCGCGCGAAATTCGTGAAGGACGTGCAATGCACGGATGTTGGGGTGGCATAAAGGTTGTGCCAGAGGACTTGTACGTGTGCCGTGGTGTACATATATGTCATGGTGTTCAATGGTGTAGCCAGGATTTCGGTCTGGAGGGGGCCATTTCTGGTCACAGAGAGCCGTTTCAGTCACGGGGGCGCACTCCTCGTCGCCATCAGGCTCTGCTTTTTATTGGAAAGCCTCTCTTTAGGCGCATGTTCCCTTTTTGATGTCCAAGTGGCCCTTGTTGAGTTTTAGAAGTTCTCCGGGTGTTCTGAACCGCTAAAAAGTATCAGTATATTTGGCTTCGCACCTTCAAGTGGTGGGGGCGCAGGTATGGGCACAGAGGCTTCTCCTGTGCTACGCCATTGATGGTATGTTTGTGTAAACCATGGCGTTTACCGAGCACGAATAGATTCCGGGATGAAATCATAGCCACAGCCTGCTGGCCGTCGACCTGGTCTCGCCCTGTGGCGGATACTCGCTCGGCAAAACAAGCCATCTCGGCTTGCACCGCTCCGCGTGAAACTGCCACATAGCAGAAACACAGAGTGAGAGTCCCGTCCCCGCATCCCAGACCCAACCGCTGCTCTCGCTGCGGAGCTGTGTCCACCCCAAAGCGCCGCCCTCTCACTCTGCGGAGCTGTGTCCACCCCAGAACGCCGCCCTCTCCCGCTGCGGGGCTGTGTCCAAAGTCCCCGTCCCGTCCACCTCGGTGGCGAACGCGTACTGCAGACCCGCGCCATCGCCTGCTACTCACGAATTCAGCAGGTGAGGCTGCGGGCCGGCCGGCCGTCGCGCGCTGTGCAGCGGGCGTCAGGCACGGTCGGCACAGCCGAACACTCAGACAGCAGGTCCGTCGGCTCTCTGCACACGCCGGGGCCGGAAACGCGCACACGTAGCTGGGTAGGTGGCCGCGGTGGGCCGGTGATCGCGTCTCCAGCTAGGGAAGCCGTCGTCTGTTTGACATCTCTCTCCGTCGATCTATCTGCATAGAAAGTAAAAAAAACAATATCCGGGGAGAAATCCGTTTACGTGTTTCTTGTGAATTAGGGCATTATGGTTTTAGCTTTCTCCTAAACTACGGGCGTATTTTGATCATTTATGCCTACGTTAGTCAGTTATATAAGGATATGACAGTCACACAACCATCACACCTTCTGCACGCCATTCTCAATACGCTCGTAATTCAGCCTTGATTTGCAGACCCTCACACTGCCGCATAGATGTGGTGCGGTCGGGCTTTAGTACGCGCTCTATCTGTAGGCTGCGTGAACGGTCCGTCCCGTTGAGTCAGCGGATGCGGCGTCACACGTCGCCGGCCGCAATGTCGCCGCGGCGCCGGTGCCAGCGGACGCGAGAGTCGTCTCCGAGAAACGGACCAGCTGACCAGCGTGGGAAAACCCGCATAGAGATCGTGGTCGCACGCCACGTTAGCGCGCCGGCGGAGGCGGGGCTCGACCAGGGACGGTAGGAATGTTCTTCTATTGTCCTGGAACATGTGGGCTTAGCAGGGGTATCGGTAAGCCCGTATGGCTTGGGCGTTGAGCGCAGACGAGCGGGAGTGCCTAGCCAACCAGCCGGAGACTACTCACAGCTGCATTTGGCTCACCGTCTATTACGGTCAGATACATTCCTTGCATCTGTAAGTTCCCTGCTGTACTCGGGCTGGACCAGTGCACCAACACTGGTCGCGGCCAAACGACGCCTATAATGAGGTCACCACTGACCGGCCGCGCGCCGCGGATGGCTGCCGTCCTCTCCACCGCCAGACACTGCAGTGACAGTCTGGGGGCTTCTACCGGAGAAGCGCAGGCACATAGCCGGTCGCTAAACTGAAGCCTTGCACGACAGTACTGCAGCCTTAAAAAGATAATGCACTACAGACAAAAAAGAGTGCTGGGTCATTTATACCAACTCAACCAACGAAGGGCGACTTTTGACACCCAGCCATCTGGGTGCTCGACGAACTTTTGTCTGATGTCTTTCCTCTAGCTCTGGACACCATATTGTGAAATCAGAGCGATTAAAGCTACCCTTTTGAAGTTATAGGCATTTTCTCATTTCTAATGTTTTTGAAACGGCGGTTTTGTAATGACTGTATCCCTGTATCCAGAAAAGTTTTTATCACAAGCATAAATTTCAATGATGAGGTGAGTGCTGTAAGATGCTTTAAGTTAGGTTTTAAACAGCACGACCATTTTGGTTTTAAAATGATCATTATTATTTTATTTCCCATATTGCTTTACCTTAGCGTCCGTGATGAACGTAGTAGGCATCTCGATACTGACTCATCCAATGGGCACCGAATCGGTCCCCCACACCCAGTGGTTGGCCGCTGCCCCCCCCCCCCCCCCCCCTCCCCCCTCTAAAGCATCTCCCTCCCCCAGATTTGGGCATCGGACGTGGTCTGAGGCGGCGTGCAGGTAGAAGCGGAGGGTCAGTTAATGATGCTTAGTCCAACAGGGATGAGATAAATCCGACTTTGGCTTCCATGAACTCTAGTTACTTGCAAAAGGTGCGACCATTCGAGTCAAGTGTGCATGAGAAAGATCATGGAGCGATACTTGGCTAGATACCCAATTCTAACCATCAGGCTGACAGCACTAGCGTGTCTCAACACTCTTCGGGGGTCAAGGAGATTCGAGGAGTGTTGAAAATGAAGCGACCCTTTGACGACCACAATGCCTGCCATTAAGCAAATTCACTCGAACACCTGTAGTAACACCAACTGAGGATCATTCACATGCTGACTTGAAAAAGTGATATTCTCACATCATAAAAAAGAGTTACTGATCTTGGTGCAAGACAAAAAGGCGAAAAACACTGCAACCATTGCGTGGGCCTACGCCGACCGGTTTAAACTGACACCAACAAAAAAGCAACAAAAAGTAAAACGAATTTATGGTGCCGACGAGAACCACCTGCGTTCATCTAGAAAGCAATATATACAGCCTTCTGAAAGTTGAGGAAGCCCTTCGCACATCCTGTGGAAACGAGCTACCAGGGAATTTCCTCAGTCTGGTCAGTCCAAAATGATGCCGCCAGATTATGACCCGCTCGCCACAAGCAGCGCACACAAGGCGGAAGTCAGCAGTGCCAGGACCTCCTCCTACCAGCAGTCCAGGCAGTCCTCCTACCCGCAGTGCCAGGACCTCCTCATCATGCGCTGTGTCAGGCCTGGGCTCATCCGAGTAAAGACGGAGGCGGCAGCAAGAGCAGAGCAACTGGTTGCCATCATGGCAAGGCTTCGGACAAACGCGGGTAAATGAATGTAAGCCAGTTGTTTCTCGTAGATGGCTGACCGTATTTTCCATGGCAGTAAGGATACAAATTAAAGAATTGTCGAAGCAAAGTGTTTGGCAAGCGTGCGATCGAAACATAACATCAGGGGCAAATTTTATTTAGATTGGAATGGTAGAGGTCACATAAGCTTCGGCATTGCAGGGCGTTTTAGGCCATGTGCAAAACGGACATACCCAGACGGCCCAGCTGTAGCCAGGCCGCAGCCATCAAAAAGCTGCAGCAAGGGCTGTCTGAGGATGTGTTGAGCATTCTGATACTGCACGCCCAGTTTGCCTGTCTGGGACCTGGCTGGGGCCATGATCAAATGCTGGCTGGGTCTCGACAAGTTGAAGTGCTACAAATGAGTTAGCCCGCCCGCCCGTCCTCTTGAGTAGAACACCAGGGGTACATTACCGTTTCCGGTCAAGGGCTGAAGGGCCATTCCGTTCCATCGCGAAGTGTCTTCTGCCTAGCATTCTGGTGGCACGGGCGGGATCTCCTGGTCGATCCGGAGGTCATTAAAAGGATATATGATATTGCATTGTTCCCATCCCTGACACGGGAGGCCTTCTGATCCGTGCAGTTAACCTCGGATTAGCACAGGGATCCTTATTGACGCAACAACATCACTGATCACCTCAGACAGTCCGATAGTTTTCACATGGACTCCAGTTCCATGTTTTTCTGTGTTCTTCAGAGATATTGAGTTCTCCCTGACTGTAGATTGCAGATGAAATGGGGTTCATAATTTGCATTAAGTTGGCTAGCCCATGTTCGTCTTATAATGCTCAACATCCTGTCAGAGCTGATTACTGATAAAAAAAACTGCGTAGCATGGTGTTGAACATGCGTGCTCGCAAGTCATAGCAATAACAGCCTCGACCCCCGGCGTTGCAGTCTCCAGGCCGTCCGGCGCCGGCCTTTGCGGCTGTAGTATTGAGCGATGGCCAATGAGCGAACGAAAAAGATGACGCATCTTAAGGGAGATAGCTGGTTAACTAGGTAAATCGGCATGCATGTTTAACGCAGTGCAAAAGTAAGCTCAATGCAACCATAATCTGAAAAGTGTGTGTGTGGGGGGGGGGGCAGTTAACATCGCTGGCCTCCCACCTTGAAAAGTGGGGGGCATAGCCCCTTGCCCCCCCTCCCCCCCCCCGTTTCTACTCCCATGACGACTCGCACGTCGGCGCCACATACGCGGCTGCTGACCCGTGGACACCGGCAGCGTCGCGCGGCACCAAGTGTGTCGACGCCCACCCCAAGGCAGTATCATACATCGTGCCCCTGGACGCCCACAACAAAATCTGGCACAACGGCGGGTGAATCCCACGACACTTGTCCCACGAACGCTAGGGAGAAAGGCGGTTCTGCCGATACTTGGCGTGAGTGCGGCAGAACCATCCGGGCCGGCGGCGACGTCGCGGCGGTCGTCAGCGGTGGGCCCACGCTCTACAGGCTGTCCGAACGGATGTCGCCCATACACATCGGATGCGACTGCAGCCGACCCTCGCGGGGAGCTAGAGCGCCGGGGATACAGGAGGATGCGGCCTCTCCATCGCTCGGTGTGAGCGCGGTGGACCGTCCGCGCAGGTAGCGGTCGTGGAGGTTGGCCGCGGGAATTTTTCCCTGCGGGAAACTCATAGAACAGTGTAATAAAAGAAATAGGTGTTTAAGGATCCTTGGCATGTGACATTATCTCGTAAAGCCGTTTGAGATGAGCTCGCAGCTAAAATTTTTCCTTCCGAGAGGATCCACGGAACCCCTTACCTGTGCGTTGCAACTGCTCAGTCAAAGCGAGTCTATGTTTATTGGCTGTGCCAATGTGGTGGCCGGCTCTGCGTATCAGCAAGCGGACCATTCCAATCAGCTGTCCACGCTGGTCCTGGACTGTTTATGCCCTCGTTGCTGGGGTGCTGTAACAACCCGAAAGCCGTCAATCAATTGCGCGCTTGCCTGAATTTCGTAAGTGCGATATTTTGTTGGTGAAGCATTGCTGTGTAGCCATAAGCCGGGCTATGGCATGAATGTCAGTTCGCTACATGGGCAGCCTGGACGCCTCACACTAAGACGACAATAGTGCCTAGAGAGCTCTTGTAGATTTTTGCCATTGGTCATTACTGATGTGTCATTAATATTGCTAATTTCTTGCAGCGTGATAAACTGGTTACAAGGAGTTGCTTATAATGTTTAGCCTGTGAATGGTTAATTTGGCTTAATCAACAGGAATTCATTTATTCACCAAAATGGATGCAGAATTGAACTGGGCAGCTGCAACACAAATGTGAAATTAATACAGAAGGTAATCCTGGTTATATACCCTTTTGAGCACACATACTCAAGCTAAGTTTTTGTGTGATGTGTGACATGGTCCCAAGGTAAACTTGTTTCAAAGATTTCTGGAAATGTCTGATCTTAGTATCACATTATAAACACCTTCAATCACTAGTTCACTAGACTAGTCCACACATTGGTCCCTGAACACCAAATTGGGAAGTATGTTAAATCAAATACTGAGTGTGCAGGGCATACCATTCTGACTTTACATATATGTGAACTTGATGTGCATAATGCACCTTATTAATTCCCTATACTTTTGTAGCATTTATAATAGCATGTTCCAGACAATAAATATATGGTGCATGACAGTTCACTTCACTTACCATTACCAGTTTTGCAAGTTGACATTCAATTAATGCACTTAGCATCATGTGTCAGTGAGTTCCAAAAGTAAGCAGCCTTCAAACTGTCATCACTGAATGTATATCATTTTCCTAGATGTTAGTGTAAAAATCTCCATTGAAAACTGAAAATTGTTCCATGCGATTGACTCTGGTTGTGCCACCTTTGTGACACTGGTGTCTAGTTCTACCTGGTGCATTAGGTCAGTTATATCACTAGGTTCTAACCAGCATTGGGGTGTGTGCCAGGGGGCCATGGCAGGTGGGCGCCGAAACCTGCCACGTGCACCTCTGCCCAAGACGCTGCTGCCCGCTGACATCCGCACCAAGTAAGTGTGCTAATCTGGAACCCAAAAGGCACCCAACTGCCAGCCTTACTGCTGGCAGGAGTGTCCCCAACAACTTTGGCACACTCCATTGGTCTTCAAGATCAATGTGTCATTGTTGAGCTTCAAAGCCTCAAGACTTTCCCTTCATGGTCTGTGTGGCATGGATGGTGTGATATGCTCCCCTGTGAGTGCTGTCTGTAGTCCAGCTGATATGAGTATGAGTAGTCCATCTGATGTTATGAAGTAAAAAGGCTCCAAGTCAAGGCTGTATCATACCATATAAAGTTTTTGACAAATTGAAGGTATCTTTACCACCTGGAGGATGCAGAGTTGGTATGTAGAGTCATTCATCATGCAGTGCTTGATTGCCATCAGGCTGCTCTGACCTTCCTACAGACAAATGCCTGGTTGGCTTTAACAGATCACTCGATTTGAGTGATGATGCCATTTTTGACCTGTAGGGCAGGTGCATGTCTGCCGTGGAGGCTTGCCCTGGACCGTTTTGTCACTGGGGCTTTACAACGCACTCAGCTGCTGAGGCTATATGGCGTCGCCTGCCTCTCACCATGGCAGGAAGGGCAGGCACCGCGGGGAATCGAACCCCGTACCTCTGGTTTCCCAGACGTGCAGTGGTTAACGCAGACGCGTTAACCACTACGCTGCCGGCACCCCCGTGGCAGGTTCCTCACGTGCAGCACATGTGTATCCTGGAAATTTCGTCAGGGCTGTCGTGGAAGGGCGGTGGAGCGGTCGGGGCAGGTCTCTTACGTGCAGCACGTGCTCACCCCAGAGATACCCCAGGTCTGTGGGGGAGGAGCGGTCTTGACAGGTCCCCTGCCTGCAGCATGTGCTCACCCCGGACATTCCGCCAGGTCTGTGGTGGAGGAGCGGTCGTGGCAGGTCCCCTACCTGCAGCACGTGCTCATCCCGGACATTCCGCGCGATGGCGAGCTCTTCTTCGAGGCGCTGATGGTGGTGTTTGTGTGCACCGGGCTGGGCCTGCAGTACCTCAACATGTACCGCACCATCTGGTGGCTGCCACACTCCTACACCGCATACGCTATGGTGAGGGTCCCCCCCGCGCTTTACTATGTACCATTTAAAGTATGCTGATATCCTAGATTATGACGGTATGGAGAACAGCGTCTCACCCCTGTCACATCCGATTTGATTTCACGTTTCGTCTATTTGATGTTTATGGTTGTCCCTCGCCCCCTGTGCTGCACGGAAACACTTGCTGGCCGAGAGCGGTCGCTGGCCTCCAATATTTTTTGTGGTGCGTGCCTTTTTGAACTACGAGAGACATGCTGCTGAAAATTGTCATAGCTCGCTCTGTTGTATCTAATATTCATTGTGGGATTTTTTGGTCGTTACTTTTAATATGACGTGAGTGACATTTTCGTTTTCGGACATTCTGGTGGCGTCAAGAAGCCCACTGGCGCGCTATTGTTCCAAATTATCCATTATGAAGCACTGAGCTGCTTGCTGTATTTGGTGTATGGACGTATTGTGTTGTGTCTCCATGGATGTTGCATGACTGAATGCAAGCATTTTTCTGTCATGTGACATGCGGCTCTACCGTATGTTGCACGCCCACCCGAGTGCCCGGCCGTTTCAGAATCTGTACCTGATCGACACGGACGTGGCTGGCTTCGTGCTGACGCTGCTCTGTCGCCGCTTTGTCTGGGCCGTGCTGAAGCATATCAGTCTCAACTACTTGCCGAGAAAGATCGCGCACTTCATGTACCTAACGAGCCGGTGAGTGCAATGCCCCGGTCCCGGTCCCGTTCCCGTTCCCGTTCCCGTTCCCGTTCCCGTTCCCGTTCCCGTTCCCGTTCCCGTTCCCGTTCCCGTTCCCGTTCCCGTTCCCGTTCCCGTCACCGTCACCGTCACCGTCACCGTCACCGTCGCGGTCGCGGTCGCGGTCGCGGTCGCGGTCGCGGTCGCGGTCGCGGTCGCGGTCGCGGTCGCGGTCACGGTCACGGTCACGGTCACGGTCACGGTCACGGTCACGGTCACCTGTCCGACTGTCCCGCACCGTCGGTCGTGTCACGTCCGACTCTTCCGGTGCTGTATTCCGCTCCATCCCGTGGGATCCATTGCCATTCCATACCACGTAATCCAATCCGTTGCCATCTCCCTCAGCTGCGTTCGGCCCCGTCCTTCCCATCCGCGCACCCCAGGGCACCCGTCGGTCCCGCCTTCTCCGGCCTCTCGCGCCACCTCCAGGCACTGGGTTTCGCTGGTCACGCCGGCGGGACGCGGTCGACTGAATATATTTTAGACCCGTGCCGGGTCGCGGCAGACGCGCCGTGCTGACCCGACGGAGATGGTACAGGCATCGCGGAAGGCGTTCAGGACTTGTGGACTTGTGTCAGCATTCACTTCACAGCGTTCAGGACTTGTGTCAGCATTGTGGTTGGTGAAGTGTGTGGATCACTTTTTGAAGATATATTTTTTCACTTGTGAAATGCTGACCGGCCGAATCTTTCAGGGTGCTCGTGCTGCTGATAGTTTTCTCCCTGCTATCCTGGTTTACGTATCAGATCTTCATGAAACACCACATCGTCCACATTCTCTACTTGTATTACTTGTAAGTATTATGCTATCTGCTCATGTATCGTGTTCTACCCTTGCAACGTAGAGCTGCCGGGCAAAGGTAAAACCATATATATTGCACTTTCTTGCAAATGATAAATTTAGGAAAGCCGATTTTCCGTTCAGCGGGCGGGCTGATTTTCCGTTTGGTGCAATAGCTTGCGTCACAAGTGCCGCACCATAAGAACAAATCATATGACTGGAACCGCTGCGTACAGTACATTGGATGGTACCAAAATGTTATCACACTGTGCAAGCTATTTTCCGAAGTGTCGAAATGCTTTTACCTAGACAAAATTTGTCCCACCAAACTTCATTATGCAAAGGGAAAAGTACGTATGTCTCTTGCAGGGTGGCACATACGCATCTGTTTAATTTTGTGAACTGGGGATCGTTGGCAAAAAACACATTTCGCCGACGAATGACACACGTATTTTGCCGCAAATAGATGCAATGCATTTGATGCACTAGTGCTTTGAAATGCATCGGCAAAAGAATGTGCAAGCCTGAAATGCAAGCCTCTTGCAAGCCTATTCCCAGCAAATACACACATTCAGACATATTTTTAAGGTCCGCTGCGCGTTTCATACCAATTTTGTGAACTCGCTATCATGTTTATTAACGAATTAAATGATGGCATATTCATTCCACTGCTTGGAAGCATTAGTTAAACGAGTATCAAGTAAACATCAGTTATATTGTCAGTACTGAGATACTGGGTACGAATGGTTGCTTGATATCGTCGTTTAACCATTGTCTCTTGGCATATCGTAGGTCGATAATTATCAGCCTAAAAACTATGAACTCATCATGCCAAAAAACCAGGAGCCCGAGGCCGTTTCTGTTATATCAAGTTCATGTGTTCCTGTTCACATGCTTCCCGAATCCGTTAAAAAGCCGCAGCCTCCAACTGTTATTTGACCTGACGTAAGCCATCTACGTTGCAGCGGTGCGTATACATAACGCTGCAATCTTAGATGCTTTGAACTTTGAAATTCGTACGTTTGCCATCCTAAAACCTTCCCAAATAGTTACCAAATATTTCATTCGAAATATTCGGTAACTAACAAGATTTTGCAGTCAGCTGTCCCCATGGAGATATTTGTCCTGTCATTCGAGCTCAAGACGCACTCAGCTTCCAAGGCTTTATAGCGTCGCTGGCCTCTCACCCTGGAAGGAAGCGTGGACTCCGCGGACAATTGAACCCCGTACCGGTGGTTTCCCAGACACGCGGTTTAACCACTACACTATCGGTACCCACCAGTAAACTTCCGTGGGACATACGTGAACGCGGTGCCCGGCTACCGGACACTGGCAGGACAATGGGCACGGCCAGGTCACGTAACAGCGCAAATGATCGCTGCTTGCCTGAGTGAAGAAGAAGCGGAAACTGACTGACCACCAGAAGTGGCCGGTTAAGCGACGCAGGGTCAGCTGTCTGCGTTCTCTCCAGTGCACTGCGCGCCTCTGCTAACCTTGCAGCGACCTTTTTTTGCGTCTCCGCCCTGTCACCCTGTTGGTGCTCGCGTCGATTGTCTGGCCACGTCTTCCCGGAACTGCTTATGAGCAAGCATAGGATGAAGCGATGTGGCGCAGTGCTTTGGAAACGTTCCCAGCGCACCAGCCATTCTCGAGGCAGGTTTCAGTTCTGGGTGGTTTGATGAGTCGCAAATTCTCATCGTTTTCATCAGCGTCGATCTCTGGACCCGTCGGCTGCTCCCTTGTCGCGATGATCCCTCCACCCGTCGGCTGTCCTGGTGTCGCAACGATCTTTGGACCCGTCGGCTGCTCCGGTGTCGCAACGATCTCTGGACCCGTCGGCTGCTCCGGTGTCGCAACGATCTCTGGACCCGTCGGCTGCTTTGGTGTTGCGACGATTTCTGGACCTGTCGGCTGCTCCGGTGTCGCAACGATCTCTGGACCCGTCGGCTGCTCCGGTGTCGCAACGATCTCTGACCCTCGGCTGCTCCGGTGTCGCAACGATCTCTGGACCCGTCGGCTGATCCGGTGTCGCAACGATCTCTGGACCCGTCGGCTGCTCCGGTGTCGCGACGAGCTCTGGACCCGTCGGCTGATCCGGCGTCACAACGATCTCTGGACCCGTCGGCCGCTCCGGTGTTGCAACGATTGCTGACCCGTCGGCTGCTCCGGTGTCGTAACGATCTCTGCAGCCGTCAGCTGCTCCGGTGTCGTGACTATCTCTGGACCCGTCGGCTGCCTCGGGTGTAGCGACGATGTCCTGAGGCACTCACGTTTCTGGGGACTCCGTCAGAAGCACATGTTTCTACACTGCAGCGTCGCATGCAAACGTAAATGCACGTATGTAGTGTCATCCATGCTGTGGACGTTTCAATTTGAGACATACGTGCTTTTACCTGTCATGTTATACGTTTTTGTCCGAAAATATTTTTTCAAAATAATTTCTCATGAAAACGTCGAGCTGCACAAATGAGGAAAGCGTCAGAAACACCATAAGTTGGGCAATGAGATGATTTTAAAAGTAAATTCTGTCAAAAAATGACACGCTGTTTTACCTTTGCACGGCAGAGAGGCAACATCGCAGCCTGAGGCATAGCTAGAGGCGTGTGCTGGAGGCTTCTTTTGATTGTTTCTTAGCATGTCGTACTGTTGGCAACCGATGCCGGACGACGTGTTGGGACGGGCCCGTGCCCCTGATCGCCCTCATCCACCGTATGCGGTTGGCTCTCCGTCCGTTTGCGCTGCGAGCGTAGATGACCGGATAGGCCGTTGCTGGCGGGCGTTGAGTGATCCGTTAGTAGAGCCACCTGGTGCCCCTGGTGCAGCTACGGCGTTGTCGGTCTGTCTACGGCATCTGCGTCGATCAGGATCATCATGTCAGTGCAGACGGCCCTGACGCACTCAAACAACGCTCGCCAACGTTTGTGCACATAGGATGGGTATGGCTGTGTGCCTATGGCGGGGCTGCGGCATTTATGCGCATTTTCCCGATTCAGAACACGCTAGATGCGCAGTTCGTTGCAAAAGTAATGGTAATCTTACTGCTTGGTTGATGTTATCACCACTAAATGTCGTTCTGTGCTATACTCCTGTTTTATTTCGTGAAGTCGTGACCTTCCCTCACAGGATTGTCATCTACTTCATCATATTTGGGCCGTCCCTGGAGCCGTTTCTGGACCTGATACCGGAGTACTCCCAGATGCGACAGGGCACGTCAGGTATGTACAGTCGCCGTGTCCTCGCCACGACCAGCTACGAGCGCTGGTCCAAGCATCCGTACGGAAAGGAGTGTTGCTGTATGAGTGAGGTGTTGGTGCCTTGTAGAGCTGAGAAGAGCGCAGTGGTAATGACCGGAGCATTGCCTGTCGGGGTCCGCAGTGACCGAAACATTAACTGGGAGTCCGCAGTGATCGGACCATTAGCTGCCGAAGTCCGCAGTGATCGGAACATTACCTGCCGGAGTCCGCAGTGATCGGACCATTGCCTGTCGGAGTCCGCAGTAATCGGACCATTACCTGTCGAAGTCCGCAGTGATCGGACCATTACCAGTCGAAGTCCGCAGTGATCGGACCATTACCTGTCGGGGTCCGCAGTAATCGGACCATTACCTTTCTGAGTCCGCATTGACCGTAGTATATAAGGTCTAAGTCCGCAGTGACCAGAGCTTTACCTGTTGGAATCCGCAGTGACCGGAGCATTACCCGTCGGAGCCCGCAGGGATCTGACTATTACCTTGCTGAGTCTGCATTTACCTGAGTATATACTGTCTGAGTCTGCAGTGACCGGAGCATTGCGTGTCGGGAGTCCGCAGTGTTGGAGAATATGTGAGGGATCTCTGCAGAGCAGCCAGAGGCCGTCACACAGTTCAAAGTACCCGAAAAGTGTGGCTTAAAAGGCGGAGTTGAAAATTGCATGGGCATTGCATCACTTGGGATGCTGGTCTCATGATGTGTTAGTTTTCTACTATGAGGAACCGTAGATCGGGAATCGTTGCGAGTCCAAATCAACCATTAAGAAGAGTGCATGTTAAGACACCTGTTTTCATCGGATGCTGTGTTCCACGTATTGCGTTCATAGCCAACTATTATTGAGCTGGTCCACTACCTGTTCCTGCCGTTTTGCTGTGAGCACCCCACGGACCGCGCTGTGAGTGAAAGGCTCTTGTTTGTGGCAGTGTTCTCTGTCGTCGGTGACGTTGTTCCAGTGAGTGACAATTACAATTCCGTGTTCACCGTATCGCGCGTCGCTGCCGGTCTGCGTTCGTCACCGCCACCGTTCCGCTGCAGTGAAGCCGCGCCCCATCTACCACGCGTGCACCTCCAATCCCGAGGGTATTCGTCAGGAGGTGGAGGTGCTGAAGGGTGACTTCAACGCCAGGATCAAGCAGACGCTGTTCAACGCGCTGATGGTCGGCTACTATGTCGGCATAGTGCCTCTCTTCTTCGCCCAGGTACTGCTTCCGGTGGTGAAGCGTTAGGTAGTCTGACTAGGAGACAGGTTTTTGTGCTTCAGGACGGACGCATACATTGCCTTCGAGACGCATGTCCGGGCGGAATAATCTGCATTCCCAATTCCTTTGCATGCACTCAGTCAGTTCGCTGGGAGACTTGCTGTGAAAACCATGATCGTTTCCGCCGGCTTGTATCTACCTGTGCGAGTAGGAAGCAACGTGGGCCGTGTCATACCCCGTGCCATCGAACGCTCCAGCACGATATGCTGAGCTTTGTCCAAGAACATTTTGCAGCACTACGCGTTTTGTCCCTTTTCCTATAGTTTATTCAGTGCTCATCATGCCCTGAACTCCTGCAGAACACACAGCAGTGCTACACTTACTGAGTTTTTTTCCAAAGCATGTTGCGTTACGACACGTTCTGCTTTCTGTTACGGAGCCAGCTGGAGTACGACCTGCTCCTGCTTTCCTTCTACAGTGCTTTGCGGTACGACACGTTATGCGTTCGTTCCAGAACACCCTTAAATACAAACGTTGACTTCGTTCTTGGAACACTTGTGAAGCCTGTCATCCACCCCAGAGCACGTTGCAGTACGGCGTGGTCTGTGTTCGTTCTAGACCACATTGTAGTGAGACACGTTGTGAACTTGGCTCCCAAGGATGAAGTATGTTACAAATGATGTTAATTACGACACGTTCTAAGCCCGATCTCATGGCGTGCTGTATTGCGCCACATTCTGTTAGTTCCAGAGCGCGTTGTAGCACGACACGCTCTGTTCGTTTCTGGGCGCGGTGGGATACGGCACGGTGGGATAAGGCGCGAAGAGATGCAGCACGATGGGTTACGGCCCGGTGGGATACGCCACGGTGGAATACATCGCAGTGAGATACGGCGCGGTGGGGTACACCGCAGTGAGATACGGCGCGGTTGGATACATCGCAGTGAGATGCGGCGCAGTGGTATATGTCACGGTTAGATACGCCGAGGTGGGATGCGCCGCGGTGGGATACGGCACGTCCCGGGCTTTTTCAGAGCACTTAGCATCGTATGATTTGCTCTGCTCGATAGGAAGCGTGCAGCACGTCATGTTCTGTAATACGTTTTACAATACATGCGGTACGGCGCGTTTTGAGCTCCGTCCCGGGACGCAGTATGACACGTTCTGTGCCGGCGTTGCAGAGCACGCTGCAGTACGACACGTTCTGGGTGACGCAGCACGCCACGTTTGTGTTCCTGTCCAGCATGACGCTGTACGTGGTGTACTGTTTCCCGCCGCGCTACTGCGACATCCTGCACCGGTCGGCGCTCCACCTGGGCACCTGGTCCCGCGTGGACGACCGGCGCGCGCACATCTCCTTCAACCCGTGAGTGCGCCGAGGGCAGTGGGCGCGGCCCGGCGGCCGGTGCGCGGATGTGCGTGCCAGCGCAGAGGAGGCGGCGACCGGCGCCCGTGTGTGGCTTGTGGATAGGTCGGTCGGGCAGCCATTGCTGCGCTGACCCGCAGCTGGGCTGTGCGTGTCATGAGCGGGGTTGAAAGCACAATGCCGAGCTGAACGACCCGGCGCCGCAACAGCATCAGACCATTCGATGGAGAGGGGAGCAGAAACGAAAGTGGGCCGATCTGTGCGGTCAGTCATGCGCATGCGAGCGCATAGCATGACGCTGCTGCTTTGTGGACAATGTCAGAGGACTATGTCAGGTTTCAGCAAACAGGGGAGATTTACTCAATGAAATCAACCTACACCCTCCAGAAGTTACTAAGCCACAATCTTAATACAATTCATAATGACGTCGGCAATCGAACTAGAAACGGCAAGTGTCGCTTTTTGGACCCGCGCGCTTCGAATATTACTTTGGATTCTGAAAGATGGGGCGTTTTCGTCTCCCCAGTTCACCGGCATCGAGCCCAGACTCTTGTGACCAGTGGCCGTCCAACATACCTTGTTTTGGTCACAGTGCGTGTTCTCAGACACTTCACTCGTTACACAGTCAACTTCACGATGGCGGCATTCACGACCACTCGTCACCTGGCTGCTCCAACATTGCGAGGAGCGTCCTACTAGGGTAATAAGAGACCAACATCCCTATCGCAGTGACAGCCCCTAAGATAGTTTCAGCCTCTCGGACGGCAGATTTTGGGACGGTTGGGTGGGACAAGCTCCGATGTCACGAAGCGCCGGCTTTGGTTTTGACGGCGGTCTGGTTCCAGGTGGAGCCGTGACCAGCTGTGGTCCAAGGGCGTCCTCACGAAGCACTGCCGCGAGTTCTACCGCTGCGACGCCATGTCGGCCGCCGCGGAGCCGGGCAACTCGCACCACGAACGCTTCTATGTGAGCGCCGACGCCTGGCGTGTGTGTGTGTGTTCCATGTGCTCTGTCTCCCCTGCGGCTGGCTGCTGACGGCTCGTCGGGTCACCCGCGCATCCTTGCTACCGTGTGGCTGGACCGTCACGGGCATGGGTTGTGTCGAGGCATTTGATGCCAAAGTGTCTTTCTGGTGGACATGTTTCTATTTTTCTCCACATCACTAACATCTGGCCGCTGGTAGATAGTTTACGTGGCGTTGTCAGATGGTGGTTTGTCACAACGCTGTAGGGGCGAAACCAGGCTTTGCGACAGGAGGGGATAATTTGTTACGAGCAGGTCCGAGCTCTATTGGCAGTACTAACGCACGGCGAACAGACCAACAAAGCCATGGATGCTAATAGCTACATTATCGAGCGTATCAATGGGCTATCAATGGTGGTTTTCTTCGGCTCTTTAGACAATTATTTCAGCTGCGTGCCGTACATATGCACTCCATCGCCAGTCTTGTGACTCATGTACGACTGTTGGACTATATATGTCGCTCTTCTTGGTAGGACGTGTGCCTTTTAAACTATAAATAGTTTGTTTGATCGGGAGAGGGGGCTAAGTGTCTCGAGTCCACCCCCTGGCTGCGCCACTGCAGCGTGGGCAGTAAGCGACCCTCTCCATGTGCCGATGCCCGGGACGGGGCCGCTGGACGCCCGGCGGCCACCCCCGCTGCGGCTGACCGGGTTTGGCCGTCCGCAGATGCTGTTCTACAACCCGTCGCTGCCGCAGTGCGTGGCACTCGGCCTGCAGGTGTGTGCCGCGCTGACGGAGACGGTGCTGCTGATTCGCGCCGCCGAGTGGTATCAGCTCATCTCTGGCTCCGTCCTGCTCTTCATCAGCTTCTACCCGCTCTTCAAGCTCTTCAGAGACTACCTGGTCCTCTGCAAGATTTACAGTGCTGAGCGGCTCATCCTCGAGAAGCACGCGCCGCCCAGCTGAGGCTCGTCGTGCTCTCCATCTGCCCCTGAGCCGAGGTGAACTCGCCCGCGGTGCAGACCTCCCCTGGAGCTGTGGTGAACTCGCCCGCGGCGCAGATCTCCCCTGGAGCTGAGATGGACTCTCCCACGGTGCAGACTCCTGGAGCTGAAATAAACTCGCCCGTGGCGCAGACCTCTCCTGAAGCTGAGGTAAACTCGCCCGCGGCGTGGTTGGCCGCGGGGAAGCGAGGCGGGCTGGCCCAGCGGAGCGCTGCAGGCGGGACAGAAAGGCACAGGAAGAGCCAGGCTGCGTATCCTGGCCCTGTGACCTCACGCGTGATGACCTGTGATGCAGCACGTGTGCAATGTGCTCGATCTTGCATTTTTGTGTTTGGCGTGCTGCTGCCATGCCATGTTTTGCTTAGACTGCCCGGGGGGACACAAAAAGGATGGCTCGGTTGCCGTGGTCGGGCGGGTCTTGCACCTTTGATGTATCAGCGGCGTGCTGTGTCCGCGGCGGAGGTTCCGTGCTTGCTTCGTCACCATCTGACTGAGATTTGTAACACTCTGGCCGTCGCAGTGTGCTCTCAGGGACTCTGTGAACCGATGCTGTCTCTGCGATCACCGGCGGACATTCCCGTTGGCTTACGAATGCGGGCCAGCGGCGGGCCAAATCATGTGCAGAGCTGGCCCCTGACCTGCCAGCCTAATGCCTGCCATACGTGGTCAGATGAGTATTCGACGGAGCATGTTCGGGTCACTGCTATTGCCTCAACGTTTTACGCCGCAGGGAAACGCCACGCGAGGTGTGGTTTTGTGCGGCTGTAAATAAAGCGCGGGCGAGATATACAGATAGTTGTTATCGTTATCGCATTCACTGCTCGGCAGGAAAATCAGCTTGGTGCTGTTGAGTTTGCTGTTGTCCGTCTTGGACGGTGACTTGCTGATGTTTCGGACAGCTGGCGAGGCGTACAGCTAGCTGGTGGTGACACCTAAGGAACCCACATTCTTTGCAGGTGAAACCCACTGTATTTTCATTATATCATGCAGGCCATTTCACGCATACAAAGTGTCAATGATTTTGTGTTTGGCGTGTCCTTGCCATGCCATTTTTGGTGAGACTGTCCGGGGGACTAAAAAGGGATGACTCAGTTGCATGAATAAAGCATAAAGGGCGTGTATAAAATGTCATTGATTTTGGAATACAACGGAGGTTTTCCACCAAACATGACTTTTTGTGAACGGGTGTGTCACGTGAGTGGTGCCCTTGCCGTGTTTACAATTTCGTCGCCGTTAGATATTCTGATGCTTGGAAAGTTTATCTTGACCAGAACTTTTGTGGGATATGGAGTTTTCCGTTCTTTGAGGCAAGAGTTCTATCTCTAGGGAAGACGTTGACAATTCAGGGTTCTGTGACGGACGTTAGTTTTCACGCTCGTGAAAGTGCTGATGCTTGAAATTTTATGGTACCGATGCGTTAACAGTCCTTTGCCCTCGCTTTTAACCGTGCAGATAACTAAATATTGCAAGACAAATGTCGTTCTCGGTGTTCTCGTACCATAATTGACCGTACCGCGCGTTTCCGGAGAAATCCGCACTTGTTGCTGCATAAATCGCCTAACCTCTACGTCATTTGAGCATTAGGTTGATCTTGAAAGGTAACCTGGATAGGTCAGGACTTTTTGACGAACGCTGGTTTTTGCGTTTGTGAATATTGTCTGATGCTTGCAATTTTGAAATCGGCCGGCGGTTTCGTGGTGATATGAAGTTTCCTTTTCTTTGGTCTCGCTAATGGCGTTGAAGGTTACATGACATTGCAAAATAAGCGTTTGTCGATGTCCCCGTGCCGTAACTGACCACGTGGCGTTTTAAGAAAAAATGAAACTCGTCGCTCAATAAATCGTTGACTAAATCGGCTGAGTTCCCCGTCGTTTGAGCCTTCGTTCCACCTTGAACGGCTACCTCGAGAGATGAGAACTTTTTGCCGGATGCTAATCTCTTCTTTGGTGAATATTCTGGTGCTTGCGAGCTTAAAACCGGCCGGTATTGTTGTGATGTGGAGTTCCTCGCCCTTTGAGCCTAAATTGAGCGTTCTAAGGTGACCTTGAGAGTTCAGATTTTTTGTCGGACGCTACTTGCACTTGTGAATATTCTGATGCCTGAAAGCCTGACATCGGCCGGTAATATTTTGCTGATATGGAGTTCCCCGTTATTTGAACTTGAGTTTCATCTTGAAGGGTGGCCTTGAGATGTCAGGAGTTTCTGGCGGACGCTAGTTCTCGAGTTTGTAAATATTTTGACGCTCGCAAATTTGAAATCAGTCGGTGGCTTGTTGGTGATATGGACTTTGGCATCCTTTGGATGGGTTATGGATTTTCCCGTCCTTTGACCCTGCTTTTGACGTTGAAGGTCACACGTCATTGCAAAATAAACGCCATGATTGATGTTACGTGTCATAAGTGATCAAATGCCATGTTTTTAGAGTAATCGGAATTCATTGCTGAATAAATCCTCCACTCCACACCGAAATAGATGCCAGAAGGAAGCGTGAGATCGATTCTGCCTGATTTGTATGCTCGATAAACTAAAAAAAAACTACTTTAGAGGACGGCATGAAATGAACCGTCGATGCTCATCATTTCACAATGATCCAGTGAACTCTTTCCAATCCGATAGAACTGGGAGAGTTTGCTAGAGAGTTTAGGGCACCGCGACAACAGACATAGCAAAGATGTGTGTCAAGACAGTCCACGGTCAGCCCACCCTCAGACCACGGTCGGCGCATACAAGCGGCCCTTCAAAAACGCTCAAAATGTGATATGTCAACGGCCCGTATGAACTGAACGCATCTATACACTCCAATGCGCGGGAATACAGAATTTTAGCTTCTGTAGCTAGGTCCACAAAATCCACACGCCATCAGTTATTACTTAACCAAATCAAGAAGTCACATATTTAAAATGATCTGCTTTGTCCACTTGAGTCAATAGTGTTATGGCATTTCTCGAAAAAGTCCCAGAAACTTGGCAAAATTGCGTAAAGTAAATTTTCCAGACAAGCCAAAGCTCTGCCCACGCTGGGCTCACGGCGGCCGATGCGGGCGAATCATTCTCACATACACTTTCGCTAGCCATGTGGAACATCCATTTCTTTGCAAATAAGACCGGAGAAAGCAGGTTTTTATCCAAGAACCGGCGGTGAGACACGTCACCAAAAGTGAAATTTCACCGAATATGCTCGTGTTGCAAATCGAACGACTCGGCTTGACATGCTGAATCTAAATATGGGCCTTGTTTTCTATCGGCAATTTTGGCTGCTGAGGTACAGTTATGTGAAATCAATGTTCACCTAATGCGTTATTGCCCACTGAGATTTACATTGGTGGAAGCCATTTGGACTGATTTCGTTGGCCCCCATAATTTTCCTGATTCTCAGACAAACCGCACGTGAACATCTAATACACTAGTTCCCATGCAAATTAGGCCGGGGAAAGCAAGCTCTCACCCGAGAACCCACGGTGAGATATCTCACCAAAAATCAAATCCCATCAAATATGGTCAACGATACAACAATTCGCCTTGACTCGACTCGTGTGGGCCGTCTCGGCACACATCAATATTAGCTACTGAGTCGACGCTGCGCAGCCTATGGGGAGTGCAACGCCCGGGCGTATAGGTTTTTGTCACTGACGTTTGAGTGCATGCTTAAAATTTCGTCGCATAACTTGTATCACTAATAGATTTAGGTGTTTAAATGTAATTATCTTAGAAGTGTCATCATTTGCGTACACTGGTGGACCTCGGCGAGAACTTAGCCGCCGAGCTAGTGATCCGCGGATTGTGGAGACTGCACCGTCTCGTGTCGAGGTTTTTGTTGCCAAGGCCTGCGAGCACGCATGATAAAAAACCACGTTACATAAATGGCGTCACTAATCGATTTTGACCGAATGTTGAACAGTTCCAGACAAACACGGCTTGGTCATGTTAATACACATTGTTGACCGCTCGATCTACAATCAAGTTTTCATCTTCAAGTTTCGACCAAACATATCGATCTACAATCTACCTTTGCGATCCCCTTAATTTTTGCAAAATCCCAAGTCAAAATCTGACAAAGTTTCTGAATTCCATCGCTTTAGAAAGAGCCCACTAAGCCATTGTATAAGGGCGCCCAGTATTTAGTTCGTGCGGTCGCTCAACGCCTGCTTTCTGTAGTCTATTGACTTCAAAATGTAAACAGAATTGATCTCACGGTAGCTTCTGGTTTCTGTTCTGGTTACCATAGGCGGATCCTGGAGAGGGGAGAGGTCACGGGACCATGACCCCAAAACCACTGAAAGTATGTTTTGGCCCCCCACAACATTTCCAGAACTTTATAAAGGCTTCGTCTACTTACCGTCTGTTTTAACTTTACCTGTTTCAACTGTTTTGCTCTAACTTCTGTATAAGATTCAAAAGCATTTCGGTGTTTTTCTGTTTTGAATGGTGTCCCTTCAAGATACTCGCGAGAGGCACCATGCACTGAACCTCGGATCCCACACCAGCCAGCTGGCAACGAACGGTTGCCCCCCCCCCCCCAAAAAAAAACTCCAGCTAGATCCGCTCCTGCTGGTTACAAGGTAAAAATTACAAAAGAACGAAGAAAACTGTGTCCCTTGTCAACAAGTAAGCTATTTCCAGGGATTTTTGTTCGGGGGGAGGGGCACCATAAAAAGGGCTTTTGTCCACCCTGAGTTCCCCCTTGGCAAGGCTCTGGCTACCCCCCTGCTTGCATGCAAAAGCAGATTAAGTCGTCTACGTTGAATGGTGGGTAATTAAATGTCCGTTAGGCAAATTCATACCCAAGGCGGGCAGCTTCCCGGAGTTTTTTTTTCCTGCGGTGGCGTGGTGTAAGGAAAGGCAATTCGGAAAAAGATGCTGTTACAGGTGACCAACACATGTTTTACACAACAATTATCAGTAATGCTGATCTAGAAATATGCAAAAAAGCAGCCATATAATCAGTTCGAAGTCAGTAATGTGGGAGACAGCCGGGCCAGGGCAGTAGCCGCCGACAGCGGACGGGAGTAGGGCTCAGATAAGGAATATATGATAGTACGGCCTTTATTCTGTGGCTTGGTTCTTACAGAAGAATGTTCAGTTTTGTGGCTTTTGTCACATCGTTTTTGTCACTTGCAAGCTTCCGAAATGGTTTCCGCCTAAAATGCTGCGACAAGTCAGACCTTTTGAAAAGGAGCCAGCAAAATGAAGGCGCATGTAAAATTTGTCGCAATGTGAGTCATTGAATCACTTTCAAGATTTTCAGCAGCCTACGTTCAGGCAGTATCTTGTCATCTACCCTGTGGGGATGGATGCCTCCTCATTGACCCGAAATGCTTACTCACTGCTGGAATTCCGGCTCCCCATGAAATACCATGTTGAAATGGACGAATAATCTCGGGAAGCTGAAAAGCCCTATTTGTCGAACGACATAGAAAATCGAATAGGCAAGATTGTGCACCGGTGAAAAACAGCTCTAGGTTCATATCTAGCAAAGCAGACATGACATTCGAATAGAGTGATAACAGCCTCCATCTGTACGCCCCCCCCCCCCCCCGGGCATTGGGCTTGCTGTCCAGAATTCCAGAAAAAGTTCCTGAAGTACGCCCTGAGTGTGTACCCCCCCCCGCCCTCAACACTTTTTGAAACGTTCCTACGCCTATGGCCGGGGTCCCTGCAATAATGCGGGGCCCATGTATCGGTCAGAGGCCCAGGACATAACAGGGTGTTCTGTGTCAACAAGGGGTCTCGAGTTGCTCAGGGGAGACCTTTGCTCAACAGGGACGGAGACGGAGCTCCGAGTGATAGAGGGCCTCTTGCGTTGGCCGGGGCCTTCTGACAATGCAGGGAAACATGAGGACTTGTGATGAGTGTTCTCAGTGAGACAATGGAAGGATTCTGTGCCAGCTAGGACCCCCAGTACCGGACGTTGGGCCTCCGACCCAATTCCAGCATGGGTCCGTGAAGCCGGAATGGAGTCTATGTGCCAGTTATTGGATCACTTGCGACGATCCGGGATGCTGTAGCATTAATAGGGGCTCCTGCGTCGATCCAGGGCCAACTGCGTGGGTCAAAAGGCCTTCCGCATAAGGGTGGGGACCAATGTGGTATGATGTATGGCTCTAATGGCCCCCGGATCGACCAGAGGATCTCGCCTCGCATTGCCAGAATGACAGCCGGAAGACACCCGGTGCTGTAACGGAATGGCCCTCCAGCCATTGACCGGACACAATGTGCGCTCCCCCCCCCCCCCCCCAGTGTTTTACTCAAGGGGTCCCCTTGCACGAAAAAAGGGATCTCATTCGTCTTGAAAAGATTGGGTCGAAATGAATTCGACAGCAAATAAGGTCGGCTCACGTTTGCCTGAGAGTTTATTTTTTGACAGGCGCAATAAGTGAAAGGAGTTACATAAAGCAAATTGTGCCCGCGCGCCCGAAATCTCGGGAACAGGGGCAGCGATGGCCTGGGCTGCAGTTTTCGTAAAATCGGATGGCGTTGGCCACTACAAGAAATACCTGACGCAGGCAGCGTGCGCACGAGAGCGACCGTCGTTGAACAATGCTTTCGAATGTCCTAGAAAATTAATTCGCTCCGTTCGAAGGTTACACTAGGCGTATCTTTTATGCAGCCCTAACCATAGATATTCTGTCATTACCTTTCCGTTATGCCACCAGGTTCCAGCATCACAAAGTGGTGCTGGAGTCTGGTGGTAGCTGGTGGATAGGTAGGTTTGCAGCACCACAAAGTGGTGCTGTAAAAGTCAGTCCGTTCAATTCATCAATCTAAAAATTGCGCTATTGACATATAAGCCCTGGACTACCTCCTTTTTGTACGATGTCATGTCTAAGAGTGTTCAAAGATACCATCTTTCAGATGCATGATCATTTTCGTCGGCCCCGGCCACGACTTATGTTATATGCCTGGCAAACGATGTGCGGTCTCGGGAGACTGCAACGCTTGGTGTTGAGGCTTTTGTTACTTAGAATTGTAAGTGCTCATGTTCAGAACTACGTTACATGATTGGTATCAATTACTGATTCTGACTAAATGTTTGCCATTTCCGGAAAAACATGGCTTGGCCATGTTAATACACACTGTTGACCCATTTTGATCTACATTTTTCGTTCACGGAGTCCCCTGCATGTCTGTAAAACCTAGATAAAAATTTTGACGAATGTTCTGAGTTCTGTCGGTTTAGAAGGAGTCCACTGAAGCATTTCAAAGTGGAAACACCGACGATTTGTTTCATGCAATCGTTTAATGTATGTTCCTTCAGTTTATTAACTATAACATTCATTCAACATTTATCTCTCGGTAGCTCCAGGCTTCTATTCCAGTATTCCAGATAACTTCCAGATAAAACAGAGGATTTAAAAACTATAGCAGAGAAAAGGATGCTCTCATTAACAACTGTGCCTAAGCCGGCTATTTTCAAAGGGGGTCTTTGACTATCACAGGGCCCTTTGTCAAGCCTGCGCCCTCATCCCCCTCCGCTCCCTCGTAAGAGCTCTGGCCGCGCCTGGCCAAGGCCCCTGAATATGACCCCCCGACCAGCCTTTCGGGCCCCTAATCGTAGGTCCTGAGTAGCTCGTGGGGCCCTCGGAGCCCGAGGGGGGGGGGCAAATGTTCTCTGCGTCCCTCCTCCCGTCTCCTCACGTGGCATAGATCATTTGACGTTCTGTGGCATTTATCGCCAACCGTTCTGAATAAATAAAGAAGAAGAAAAATGTTCAAAAAACAAAGCCGTATTGCTTGCATATTTGACGCGTTTGTTACAACAACTGCGCAAAAAAGTGGTTTACTCGGTAAAGCAGATGAATGTGGCGTTCGTAACGAAAGGCTTAGTACAGCGGGGACGACCTGTTCTAGGGCCTTGCTTAGGACGGCAATACCAGTTAATAGGTGAGAAATGACGGAAGTGACCTTGAACGTTTGTTAGTCAGTGTTATTCAAAAGATTGGTTTACCACACAAGCACTATGTCTGGGACTAGATGAAAATTGTGATTGTATGTAAAAGCCCTCTTACCTGAAGGCAATGTGCCATGAAGTGAATAGTGTTAAGAAAAAGTTTTATTGGTAGTACTCTTCAGGTTGAGCTACTGTGTCCAGATCTCTGTGACCCTTATGTAAAGAATCCCTTAAAATGTTGATGCTATCAGCTGCCAAAACCATCTTCATTCCCAAACATCCCTGACTTCATCTTTGTTCTCAATTCTCATACTGTGTATAGTGCTATTTACAGAATTGTGCGTAGGCTAGCAATTGTGATTTTTGATGATGCACTTCACAGCTTCAGCCAGGAACTATGAGCTGCAATTTAAATAGTGTCAGTGATCTTGAATGAGAAACTCTTGTCCCTAAATTTCCAAAATTTGCATCAAATTGTCAATTCTAACCCTGGACCTGTGCAAATTAGATTCTGTCCAAATCTGTCATTTTTGAAGGCTGGGCCTGATATCTGTCTGTGAAAAAGGCCTAAGCCAGGCTATCAAGATGTGCTAGGTTTCTCTCTACTTGTCAAATCTAAACAATTAGGTGTGAAATTCTTAGCATCACTATAGAATAGTGAAGTGCAGGAAGTAGCTTTTCATAATTGATGGTGAGTGAGTATATGTGTATCAAGTAAACTGTACCTTGATAAGTTTCAGGTATGGATTGACACAAAATTTTCAGTGTTTTATTATTGATAAATTTTCATCTGTAACACTATTCCGTCTCCAATTTCAGGGAGCAGACAGTAAGCCAGCAGGAGGCCTGCTGCTGCAGGAGCCATGTTTTTCCAATCAGGATGTGAGAATGGAGACATAGACAGCGTGGTCAGTGAAACTGAAGAAGAGCCATTCAGTCTGCTGGAAAACATTTCACAGCTAACACTGTCATCAGATGGGGTGCTAGATGAGGCGTGGCTGGCTGACAGCTGCCTGTCATATGCCGACCGCTCGTCCGTGACGTCGGCCTCCGACACGGACCTCTCCCCGGACGGGACCCTCGCCGCCAGGTCCGGGGACTCAGAGGAGGAGCCAACAGCCGGGGGCGACACGGCGCCCTGCTGCCATGGCCTGAACAACCTGAGCACCGTCTATGAGCGGAGCGGTGACGCCACGGGTGATGGGAGCCTTAACGCCACCTGCGAGCCCGACGTGGCCAGCGTGGCGTCTGACTGCCAGTCACGCTGGTCTGACTTCGTGTCGTCAGACGAGGAGTACTTCACAGCCGACGGCGGCTCGAGCGCACCGCCGGCCGCCGAGCTAGCGCGCCGACTGCGCGAGCTGGGCTACTCGCCGGGCCCAGTAACGGCCGACACGGTGTCGCTCTACCGGCGCCGGCTGGCGCAGCTGGAGGAGCACGCCGCCCGCTTCACGCCGCAGCTGGACGCCTGTCTCCGTGCGGCGCCTGCGCAACTGGGTCGGCTGGCAGCGCTGGAGGAGAGCATGGCGGCGGCGCTGGGAGGCCGAACGGCGGCCGGCGCCGGCAACCGCTGCCGCGCGCCGCTCCTGCTTCAACTATCTGCTGTTGGACCCACGCGTCACGGCGCGCGGCGGGTCGGGCGGGCCTCTGCCGTTCGCCACCTTCGTCGGCGCCGTGTTCTACGTGGGTAAGGGGCAACAGAGACGGCCATACAGCCACCTGGTGGAGGCGACCGGCGCGCCGGGCGCCGCCGCCTGCGCCAAGGTGGAGCACATCCGCGCCATATGGCGCGCCGGCTTCGGGGTGGTGCTGCTGTGCGTGTTCCAGCACCGGCTGTCGGCCGAGGCGCTGACACGCGAGGCGGCCATGATCGACGCCATTGGGCTGGCCAACCTAACCAACGTGCGGCGGGGCGATTACTACGGCCCGCCCAAGGGCTGGACGTCGGCAGAGCGCCGCCAGCTGGGCGCGGGCCTGCTTCACAAGGCCTGGCGCATCTACCTGGTGGAGGGTGAGACTCAGCTGAAGCCCGAGGACATCGGCAAGTGATCCTCTGATCCGCGCGGCCGGGCGGCAGACCCGACTGAAGCCCGAGGACATCGGCAAGTGATCCTCTGATCCGCGCGGCCGGGCGGCAGACCCGACTGAAGCCCGAGGACATCGGCAAGTGATCCTCTGATCCGCGCGGCCGGGCGGCAGACCCGACTGAAGCCCGAGGACATCGGCAAGTGATCCTCTGATCCGCGCGGCCGGGCGGCAGACCCGACTGAAGCCCGAGGACATCGGCAAGTGATCCTCTGATCCGCGCGGCCGGGCGGCAGACCCGACTGAAGCCCGAGGACATCGGCAAGTGATCCTCTGACCCGCGCGGCCGGGCGGCAGACCCGACTGAAGCCCGAGGACATCGGCAAGTGATCCTCTGACCCGCGCGGCCGGGCGGCAGACCCGACTGGGATACCAACCTCCATCTGTACGCCCCCCCCCCCCGGGCATTGGGCTTGCTGTCCAGAATTCCAGAAAAAGTTCCTGAAGTACGCCCTGAGTGTGTACCCCCCTCCGCCCTCAACACTTTTTGAAACGTTCCTACGCCTATGGCCGGGGTCCCTGCAATAATGCGGGGCCCATGTATCGGTCAGAGGCCCAGGACATAACAGGGTGTTCTGTGTCAACAAGGGGTCTCGAGTTGCTCAGGGGAGACCTTTGCTCAACAGGGACGGAGACGGAGCTCCGAGTGATAGAGGGCCTCTTGCGTTGGCCGGGGCCTTCTGACAATGCAGGGAAACATGAGGACTTGTGATGAGTGTTCTCAGTGAGACAATGGAAGGATTCTGTGCCAGCTAGGACCCCCAGTACCGGACGTTGGGCCTCCGACCCAATTCCAGCATGGGTCCGTGAAGCCGGAATGGAGTCTATGTGCCAGTTATTGGATCACTTGCGACGATCCGGGATGCTGTAGCATTAATAGGGGCTCCTGCGTCGATCCAGGGCCAACTGCGTGGGTCAAAAGGCCTTCCGCATAAGGGTGGGGACCAATGTGGTATGATGTATGGCTCTAATGGCCCCCAGATCGACCAGAGGATCTCGCCTCGCATTGCCAGAATGACAGCCGGAAGACACCCGGTGCTGTAAAGGAATGGCCCTCCAGCCATTGACCGGACACAATGTGCGCTCCCCCCCCCCCCCCCCAGTGTTTTACTCAAGGGGTCCCCTTGCACGAAAAAAGGGATCTCATTCGTCTTGAAAAGATTGGGTCGAAATGAATTCGACAGCAAATAAGGTCGGCTCACGTTTGCCTGAGAGTTTATTTTTTGACAGGCGCAATAAGTGAAAGGAATTACATAAAGCAAATTGTGCCCGCGCGCCCGAAATCTCGGGAACAGGGGCAGCGATGGCCTGGGCTGCAGTTTTCGTAAAATCGGATGGCGTCGGCCACTACAAGAAATACCTGACGCAGGCAGCGTGCGCACGAGAGCGACCGTCGTTGAACAATGCTTTCGAATGTCCTAGAAAATTAATTCGCTCCGTTCGAAGGTTACACTAGGCGTATCTTTTATGCAACCCTAACCATAGATATTCTGTCATTACCTTTCCGTTATGCCACCAGGTTCCAGCATCACAAAGTGGTGCTGGAGTCTGGTGGTAGCTGGTGGATAGGTAGGTTTGCAGCACCACAAAGTGGTGCTGTAAAAGTCAGTCCGTTCAATTCATCGATCTAAAAATTGCGCTATTGACATATAAGCCCTGGACTACCTCCTTTTTGTACGTCATGTCTAAGAGTGTTCAAAAATACCATCTTTCAGATGCATGATCATTTTCGTCGGCCCCGGCCACGACTTATGTTATATGCCTGGCAAACGATGTGCGGTCTCGGGAGACTGCAACGCTTGGTGTTGAGGCTTTTGTTACTTAGAATTGTAAGTGCTCATGTTCAGAACTACGTTACATGATTGGTATCAATTACTGATTCTGACTAAATGTTTGCCATTTCCGGAAAAACATGGCTTGGCCATATTAATACACACTGTTGACCCATTTTGATCTACATTTTTCGTTCACGGAGTCCCCTGCATGTCTGTAAAACCTAGATAAAAATTTTGACGAATGTTCTGAGTTCTGTCGGTTTAGAAGGAGTCCACTGAAGCATTTCAGAGTGGAAACACCGACGATTTGTTTCATGCAATCGTTCAATGTATGTTCCTTCAGTTTATTAACTATAACATTCATTCAACATTTATCTCTCGGTAGCTCCAGGCTTCTATTCCAGTATTCCAGATAACTTCCAGATAAAACAGAGGATTTAAAAACTATAGCAGAGAAAAGGATGCTCTCATTAACAACTGTGCCTAAGCCGGCTATTTTCAAAGGGGTCTTTGACTATCACAGGGCCCTTTGTCAAGCCTGCGCCCTCATCCCCCTCCGCTCCCTCGTAAGAGCTCTGGCCGCGCCTGGCCAAGGCCCCTGAATATGACCCCCCGACCAGCCTTTCGGGCCCCCAATCGTGGGTCCTGAGTAGCTCGTGGGGCCCTCGGAGCCCGAGGGGGGGGGGGCAAATGTTCTCTGCGTCCCTCCTCCCGTCTCCTCACGTGGCATAGATCATTTGACGTTCTGTGGCATTTATCGCCAACCGTTCTGAATAAATAAAGAAGAAGAAAAATGTTCAAAAAACAAAGCCGTATTGCTTGCATATTTGACGCGTTTGTTACAACAACTGCGCAAAAAAGTGGTTTACTCAGTAAAGCAGATGAATATGGCGTTCGTAACGAAAGGCTTAGTACACGGGGACGACCTGTTCTAGGGCGTTGCTTAGGACGGCAATACCAGTTAGTAGGTGAGAAATGACGGAAGTGACCTGAACGTTTGTTAGTCAGTGTTATTCAAAAGATTGGTTTACCAAACAAGCACTATGTCTGGGACTAGATGAAAATTGTGATTGTATGTAAAAGCCCTCTTACCCGAAGGCAATGTGCCATGAAGTGAATAGTGTTAGAAAAAGTTTTATTGGTAGTGCTCTTCAGGTTGAGCTACTGTGTCCAGATCTCTGTGACCCTTATGTAAAGAATCCCTTAAAATGTTGATGCTATCAGCTGCCAAAACCATCTTCATTCCCAAACATCCCTGACTTCATCTTTGTTCTCAATTCTCATACTGTGTATAGTGCTATTTACAGAATTGTGTGTAGGCTAGCAATTGTGATTTTTGATGATGCACTTCACAGCTTCAGCCAGGAACTATGAGCTGCAATTTAAATAGTGTCAGTGATCTTGAATGAGAAACTCTTGTCCCTAAATTTCCAAAGTTTGCATCAAATTGTCAATTCTAACCCTGGACCTGCGCGAATTAGATTTTGTCCAAATCTGTCATTTTTGAAGGCTGGGCCTGATATCTGTCTGTGGAAAAGGCCTAAGCCAGGCTATCAAGATGTGCTAGGTTTCCCTCTACTTGTCAAATCTAAACAATTAGGTGTGAAATTCTTAGCATCACTATAGAATAGTGAAGTGCAGGAAGTAGCTTTTCATAATTGATGGTGAGTGAGTATATGTGTATCAAGTAAACTGTACCTTGATAAGTTTCAGGTATGGATTGACACAAAATTTTCAGTGTTTTATTATTGATAAATTTTCATCTGTAACACTATTCCGTCTCCAATTTCAGGGAGCAGACAGTAAGCCAGAAGGAGGCCTGCTGCTGCAGGAGCCATGTTTTTCCAATCAGGATGTGAGAATGGAGACATAGACAGCGTGGTCAGTGAAACTGAAGAAGAGCCATTCAGTCTGCTGGAAAACATTTCACAGCTAACACTGTCATCAGATGGGGTGCTAGATGAGGTGTGGCTGGCTGACAGCTGCCTGTCATACGCCGACCGCTCGTCCGTGACGTCGGCCTCCGACACGGACCTCTCCCCGGACGGGACCCTCGCCGCCAGGTCCGGGGACTCAGAGGAGGAGCCAACAGCCGGGGGCGACACGGCGCCCCGCTGCCATGGCCTGAACAACCTGAGCACCGTCTATGAGCGGAGCGGTGACGCCACGGGTGATGGGAGCCTTAACGCCACCTGCGAGCCCGACGTGGCCAGCATGGCGTCTGACTGCCAGTCACGCTGGTCTGACTTCGTGTCGTCAGACGAGGAGTACTTCACAGCCGACGGCGGCTCGAGCGCACCGCCGGCCGCCGAGCTAGCGCGCCGACTGCGCGAGCTGGGCTACTCGCCGGGCCCAGTAACGGCCGACACGGTGTCGCTCTACCGGCGCCGGCTGGCGCAGCTGGAGGAGCACGCCGCCCGCTTCACGCCGCAGCTGGACGCCTGTCTCCGTGCGGCGCCTGCGCAACTGGGTCGGCTGGCAGCGCTGGAGGAGAGCATGGCGGCGGCGCTGGGAGGCCGAACGGCGGCCGGCGCCGGCACCGCTGCCGCGCGCCGCTCCTGCTTCAACTATCTGCTGCTGGACCCACGCGTCACGGCGCGCGGCGGGTCGGGCGGGCCTCTGCCGTTCGCCACCTTCGTCGGCGCCGTGTTCTACGTGGGTAAGGGGCAACAGAGACGGCCATACAGCCACCTGGTGGAGGCGACCGGCGCGCCGGGCGCCGCCGCCTGCGCCAAGGTGGAGCACATCCGCGCCATATGGCGCGCCGGCTTCGGGGTGGTGCTGCTGTGCGTGTTCCAGCACCGGCTGTCGGCCGAGGCGCTGACACGCGAGGCGGCCATGATCGACGCCATTGGGCTGGCCAACCTAACCAACGTGCGGCGGGGCGATTACTACGGCCCGCCCAAGGGCTGGACGTCGGCAGAGCGCCGCCAGCTGGGCGCGGGCCTGCTTCACAAGGCCTGGCGCATCTACCTGGTGGAGGGTGAGACTCAGCTGAAGCCCGAGGACATCGGCAAGTGATCCTCTGACCCGCGCGGCCGGGCGGCAGACCCGACTGAAGCCCGAGGACATCGGCAAGTGATCCTCTGACCCGCGCGGCCGGGCAGGCAGACCCGACTAAAGCCTGAAGGATATCAGCAGGTGATCCCCTGACCCGCGCGGCCGGGCGGCAGACCCGACTGAAGCCCGAGGACATCGGCAAGTGATCCTCTGACCCGCGCGGCCGGGCAGGCAGACCCGACTAAAGCCTAAGGATATCAGCAGGTGATCCCCTGACCCGCGCGGCCGGGTGGACCCGGTGGACTCGCGTGACGTGTGTGCACCGCTCGAAGTGGCCTTTGCAAGTGCCTTTTTTCACCGTGCCAGTAGTCTATGGCTCAAGCGCTTTCATTCGGGAGAGCGACTTGGTGAGACATGGCCATTGACAGCAATGATCGCATCCCTTTCAGCGCGAAGGGCTCGTAGAGGATTGCTTTAGACGCCTTGGATACTTTTTCTGCCGGCCGTTAAGCAGTGAAGTCTTGTTGACGCGCGGGGCTGGGCTCCGAGTGCTGCTTGGCTGTGGTGAGCTATTCTGTATCGTTATCGGGATGATTTTTGGTAGTCGTTGTCACCACATCGTCATTGTCACTATAGTAACAGATTGGGACGCACACCATGTCACCAAATAGCCACCGCCCGGTTCCTCGCGGCTGCACCCACGATTGGTAGTAATGGCAAGCGCTCAGCTTAATAGCTATTTGATTGTGCTACTCTATGTGATGCGTGTTTGAGAGACGGTCCAAAGAATTACCAAAGAGGCTGTCGCCCCGACGTAAGCGGGGCATACGAGTTGTTATTGGGTTATAAATGGATTCCACGCTTGTGCTCTGTTCGTGGAGCAACCAGATTGTTTCGTCATTATTTGATCTCAAGACTGCATCAACATAAGACGGTGTCGCATTTCGATCGGTTCAAGTGTGAGGAGTCCATTTACAATGATCGTTGTTGGGAGACACATATCACAATATATCAGCAACAAATGCTGCACGGAGTATGGAATGTTTAAGGCGCCGCTGATCGCAATGATGACATTTCCACTGTCTTGTTTTAATTTATTCCAAATGAGCTGCATGCAACGAGATTGTGTTGAGGGGACTGACTTGTCATGACTTGTTGCGTATGCTCTGATTCTGAACCCAGCACCCAAATTATGCCGCCCATTTCAACGGATAATTTGGATTCCGCATTGGTACTCGAGCTTAGTTCTGCTCGGTTGCGAATCCATCTTTTCCATAGACCACGGCGTCGGAGATGACGTTGTGCAAATGAAATTAGTTAGCGAGGCCCGTATACGCGAACAGACGAAACTCCGCGGTTGACAGGTGCACTGACACTCTCGAGCCATTTTCGAGCTTACGACAACAGAGTAAGGCCCCTTCAACCTCATGAGAAAAAGCCAAGACCAATATGGAAGGCCGGAAGCAATAACAACTGCCATGCTTGATCAACATGTCAGACAGGACCAATGTGAACGGCACCTGCGCGGTCCAGTGTGCCGTGGCAGGTCAACAAAGAGTCTTTATCAACAGTGTAAGATTCTCCAAGCAAAAACTAGACAAAAGTTAAGACCAATGCGGGGGCCACCGAGCAATGGAGAGTGTCTTAAAGGGATTGTTCCACTGTTGAAGATGCTGAAGCTAGCATCAAATATAATGAAGTGAGCTCACTTCTCCTCAATACGTCATCACTTGATTGTGTCATCTTACCTTGCAAAACATTGACTGGGAGTCAATTGGCGCCCGTTATATCTGAAGATCGTGCCTGCGAACGCCAGAGTAAACGACTGGACAATTCTGTTTTTCTTGGCTTTGATGGTCACATGACCAAAGGAATGGCAAGATTTTATGACGTTGTTGTGGCGTCATGGATGCCTGTGTGACCTTGAAATAGTCTACACGAAATAGTCTGCACATTTTCGCAGGGGTATACCTCAGAAACAAGAGAGGTTTAGAGCTTCAGAATGTCAGAGCCGTGAACTGCACCTAATGATCTTCAAGATGACTATTTGAGTCCAAAACCCCATGTAAATGCGTAACACTGTTTAACCAATGAACAGAGAGCTCCGGACAACAGCGTAGGCTCCTACGTAAATGAGAGCAAATAGGAACAGTCTTAGACCAGTGTAGAGGGACCCTGAGCATCGGCTGTCTCAGTAGGTCAACACCTATGGGCACAGAATACCGCAGGGCCGTGCGTCTGAACAGCCGACAGGTTGGCTTATAAGGCCATCCATAATTACGTTACGCATTCGGCGCCAGTTTCAATCCACTCCCTCTGATAACGCACTGGTTACGCCGTGCGAAACCACTCCCCCTGGTTACGTTGAGCTGAGCGTGTCGTCACCAGAACGTAATGTCCATTTGGCCCTAACTGAGCTAAATATACGGCACAAATAGCGGGTGTGACCCTTCATGAGAGGAGTCAGCGCCATCCCATTACTAAAGTTTTAATACGCTTATTTTAAGCATGATTTGCAACCACACTTGGTGTTACGTTACGCTGTCCAAAACCTCCCCGCCACCCCTTGTTACGCTTCCGTTACACTCCATCTCCGTCCCCCATCCATACGTAACATGATTTATGGCCGGTCCCTATGAGCACCACGGCAATATCGTATTTTAAAAGTCATCCTGGCGAATAGAAAAAAAACCGTGAAGAGCCCTGATCGATGAAGAGTGCTCCGGCCCTTCAAGCAATTGCAAAAAGGCGAGGGCAACGTGCAAGGCCTCTTGGCGATCGGAGTGCTCCGACAAGTGCACAATCCCCATCCACGACCCCATCAATCAGCGAATAATTATTTCTGTCAGCTCATGACCCTTTATTTTTGCTTACAAGCCTTCTTCGTCGTCTGGAGCGCCAAGGGGGTCCATTTTTACGCTTTGTGTAAAAAACCCGCGTCCGGTAGGCCTATTACTGATACTACTACTACTGCAACTTACTGCAACTAAAACTATCAAATTATCATTACGACTCATGCGTTGGGCAGTGCTGAGACCTCTAAATGATTATGGACATTACAAAGCGAACTGGTCGTGCCCGCACCGTTCAGGTGGCTCTGCGGCCGTCTGATTCGGCTGCCGGCATGCCTTGACATGTCCTTAATCAACATGTTCCGGCATGTCCTTAAAAACTCCCCCAAGCGTACATATGCATGGCTTCGCCCCGCCAAACACGTTCGGCTGCACGTGAGGAGCCGAATTTTCGCGAATGATCGCCGTTCTCTCCCCCGTTTGACGGTGTTGGTCTCATCGGCAGCCGGTTGTCGAGAGCCCGAGCCGATTCTGCCTTGTGTTGCGCAGTGTTTTCCGCAACCTAACCAGATGCGTCTCACACGTCAGTTGAACGGAAAGGTACACTTTGCTAGCATTGCTGTGATGCAGGAGAATCCTGAGTCATCAATCCGCTTGTCTGAAAATGCATTCTAATTTATCCAGCACCACGTTGTGTACACATGGTGCTGGCTGTACTTCTTACTGCTCAGAGGTGCAGACTGCTGCAATCATTGATGCAATGCCGTTTTTCTCTACGGCAAGCTTAAGGACCAGGTCGGCCGCTCGATGCAGACATTTCTTTATAAAAAAAAACACCTCGTAACTACCACGCGCGCAGCGGACAGCAGCAACGCGTTTCCAGTTCGGCCGTACCTGCCCGCGACCCACGCCATGCAGGATGACCCCGACGTACCACGCCATGCAGGATGACCAAGTCATACCATGCCATGCAGAATGACCCGGCATACCACACCATGCAGGATGACCCGGCATACCAGGCCACGCACGATGTCCCCGGCATACCATGTCACGCAGGATGGCCCGGCATAACACGCCATGTCTGAACTTGTCGCCCCGCCCACACAACAAAAGCCAGGCGGGTGACGCCGAAGCTACGAGTTCAGTAACCGAAAGCCGCATTATTTCCCCGTTCCGAGTTGTCGCAGATTGCGTGGGCTGCTATTCCTGCAGGTGCAGGACCGTAGAGCGAAACGCCAGTGTCTGCTAACCAAACTGGATAATCGTGTATTGGAAGAAACATCCACCGCTGGGGGATGGGATGGCCATCGGCCGTCAGTCCAGCAAGGCATCCGACCGTGGTGGACCCGGAGGAAACTCATTTCCACCAAGGCATCCAACCATGGTGGACCCGAAGGAAACTCATTTCCACCAAGGCATCCAACCATGGTGGACCCGAAGGAAACTCATTTCCACCAAGGCATCCAACCATGGCGGACCCAAAGAAAACTCGTCTCCACCATTCATTGGAATCGGAAGCGCGGATCACAACGAGTAAACGCCTGTTGCGGATACGTACCCATACGCATACGCTTAGCAAATCACAGCGAGGTCCCTCCCACAAGGTATAAGCATAACCCGCAAAGAAAGCATATTGCTCTGTTTCACATCGGTTTCAACAGAAACAGACACCCATTGGTCCTTAGCTTGCATTAGAAGACCCAGAAAAGAACCGCTCTAAGAATATGCACGCCGCGTACGCCAATCACTCGTACAATCTCTTCAAAGTCAACCTAACCACTACCGCGCTAGAGCTTTTCATAAAAATACCAGTGACTAGCACAACCTTCAATGACCACAGAACCGGACAGCGCGCTTCTTCGGCTGTCCGCACGGCGTGAGCGGAGACAGCTGCCGCAGTCCACCACTCGCCGCTCTGGACCCCGGCCAGACGGTGCGGCTAGGCGCTGGTCTCGTCGTCCCAGCACTCCGAGTCCGAGTCCGAGTCGGACTCCGTGTCGGAGGAGACCTCGATGGCGACGCGGCGCGCCAGGATGGAGGCCACGTCGTGCAGGGGCTGCGCCTGCTCGCGCCGCTGCTCCTCCACCACCTCCACCTTGCGCAGCGTAATGCCTGCGGCGGACACAGAGGCGCCGGCGGTCAGTCGGGCCGGTCACCAGGCGGCGCGCCGGACGCCGCCCTCACGGCGCCCCGCCACCGCGCCGGTACGTGGACTACGACGCGATCGTGACGGCGTTTGATGTGATGCTGTTTCGTCGGGGCCTTGACGAGTACGCGCTGTTACAGCATGATACAATGAACTGGTCGCTCTCTCCTCACTGCGCTTAACCCAGAGGCATGTCGCCGAGCCAGGGCAACGTGCTGGCTGGACGCACAGCAGGCCAGATGAGGATAGAAACACTCTGTCACGTTCTTCAGTTTCACGGTGAGGTATGCATCCGTTATTAAGGCCCGCCACAGGGTTCATCGTGATAACCCAGAGAACCTACTGAAACCACCATGCATAGAAAATGGATTGGAAGTGTTAAACATAACGCCTCAAACTCGCAACTCAGCATCAATAAAACCACGACAATGTCCCCCACCTTCCAACTCACAACTCGGCATCACAAAACCACAGCAATATCCCAGATTTCAAATCACAACCCAGCGTCAACAAAACCACGGCAATGTCCCCCAACCGTACGCACACCACCGCACCGGACTGTTAAACGATTGCACTTCGTGGTACGTTCAGAAAATGTAACATTTAATGATTCAATGGTACTAATGATGGAATATCTGAGGATTCCGTGGTACAATCCATAGTACATTTAAGGATTCAACAGCACAAGTAATGGCACATTAGGCCAGGCAACATTTAAGGAGAAATCGCGGCAAACCCGAGCCACGCTGCCGGCCAGTTTGGCGGGAGGGGAGCCAGACACGCCGGACACGGTACGCGTCCTTATCGGGCGCCTGACAGCCGCCACTGACCGTCCCGGATCGCCTTCAGCAGGTCACTGCGGGCGTCGTACAAGGGTGGCGGCTTGGCGGCGGCCGGAGTCACTGGGGTCAGCTTCACCTGCAATCGAAGGCCGATCAGAGCCCCGTCGGGGACGGCTGGCGGACGGCTCGGCCCCGGGATAGCAACGGCCAGTGCCAGCACGCCGTGTAATCTGCCATGGCCAACAGACCAGACACATCCACGCCAACCCAGAACATGTAAATACCACCAAGCAACACACATAATAAGGCGTGTCGGTACCGCACCTAGCCAAACCGTCGTGTTTCCTCTGACGGGAAGGCACGCAGATCAGTACGACAGATGCATGTAACATTGGGGAGAGCCCCTGGTTCTCAATTCACTGCCGTCCATAGCCGGACAGCGCCATCCGCTATCCGGCAAACGTCGATGGGCGGTTCATTGTCGCTCTTACGATCACCGCACAAACTGCCTGACGTACAGTCGTGGTGTGTTCATAATTATTACGGCACCGACCAGCTGTAAATACATGTTAACAAGAGCTGGTAGTCGGATGTAAATCGCTGCCTCCCTAGCAGCACTCCATTCCCTGGTGAAATACGATTGTCAGCTTCCTTGCACTCCGGTGCACAAGTGTTAAATTACCTTGCCACCGTCTTCAGCTGGATCATTATCCATGTCCAGCGCCGTCTTGGGGAAGCCGTTCACGAGACAGCTACCGAGTCCGGGAGGCGGTGGTGGCGGCGGTGGTGGTGGCGGTGGTGGTGGTGGCGGTGGTGGCGGCGGCGGAGGCGGCGGTGGCGGCGGCGGCGGCGGCGAGAGCGGTGGCGGCGGCGCCTGGGGCAGCTGCGGCGGCGGCGGCAGCTCGTCCGCTCTGGGCGACGGCGGCGGCAGCTCCTCGGCAGACGTGTCGTGCAGCGGAGACGGCGGCGGCGGCAGCTCCAACGCGCTCTGACGCGCCGGCGGGTACGCCAGGCCGTTCTCAGCGGCGAGCAGCGGCGGCGGCGGTGGCGGCGGTGGCGGCGGCGGCGGCGGCAGTGTCTGGCGGTCGCTGCGGACGCGCGTGGGCGTGCTGCCGTGGCCGGGCGGCGGCGCCGGCGGAGGCTGTGAGGGCCGGCTCGACACGGTGCGGCTGATCGCGCGGCCGCCGGGACTGAGCGGCGCGTCAGAGCCGCGGCGCCGCAGCTCCACGCTGACCGGTCGGGGCGGCTCCAGCTCCGATGGTGAGTCGCAGTCGTACGGTATCTGACGACAACACGCCAATGTCAGCGTCACACACATGAGGCCAACACAACATTTGGGGCTTCGTTTTGAAATCGGGAAATGGGTAGACACAATCCCGCTCGCAGCTCAAGCAATGCACACAAATTTGAACGTCATTGAGAAAACAGCAAATATGACTACACGTGAACGTTATACATTAAACCATTAACAAACATGACAACCTTAACAGATGAATATAATTTAGGAAGAAAACGCGCAACACAAAAATGAAAAACTTGTACTTCTATTGACTGCAACTTATGTGCGGAAAGTTGCCAGCTTTTTCGGACTTCAAGCAACTTGATTCACAACGGTCAAAGCAACTACTGGTTTCTTTATAGTCTGATAAGCAGTCCTGAAAACCAACAAGCATGGCACGTTTTCTGGTTTGGAGTCCACCCACATCACAACAGCCAGTACCCCAGGCACCCGCTCGCCTCCGCGCGGAGGAGCGGACGCTGCAGCGCGTCGGGACCCCAGCACCGGGCGGCGCCGCCGTTGAGCACTGACCGCGTGCTGCGGCGCCGGCGGCGGTGGCGGCGGCGCCGGTCGGCTGGCCGAGCTGTGCGACGGCGGTGTAATGTATTCGCCATGCTCCTCGGCCGCCTGGCGCTGGCGCTCGCGCGTGTTCTGCGCCTGGCGCACGCGCTTCTTATGGCGGCCGCCGGAGCTGCCGGCCGAGCCGTCGTGCCGCGGCCGGTGCGGCTGTCGGGTCAGGTCAGGTCAGGTCAGGTCAGGTCGCGACAGGTCGGAGCAGACTCGACAGCTAACACGCGGTGCGAACACTCTCGAAACACACGAACACAGCGGCTGGTGCAACTGAACAGCACATGACGGAGCTGAAAGTGCGGAGGTGCAGCCATACGATGGATCAGCGAACAAAGTTACGGGTCACCAACAAACAGCGAACAACGGAAACATCGCGTCCTTTTATTGTGGGCTCACAAAACGGCGATGCCGCGGTCTGCAGTAGCGCTACAACTCGGAAACCTCAGTAGCACAAGCAATTACCGCTAACGCATACTTGATTGTGGCCATCTGTCAAACAGATAGGTAACCCTAAAATCAGGGCGTGCCAGGATTGTTTAACGTGATAATACAATATTTAGGTCATCCCAGTTCTTCGAACTCCAATCGTAACTACCACGTATAGCATGCTGGGTCTGGAAATGTTTACAATACCTTACTAAACCACGTCGCGCAGCCAACTTGCCAGCGCCGTGATATGGCGCTGGCCAGTTGGGCGGAGGCGATATATCATTATAGTTTTCAGCGCCTACTTAAATATTTCATAACATCAGCTTTTAGTCTGCTCCACCAAAGTTCCCACACTGACCGCTCAAGACCCCCGTACGATTGGACATACCTGTAAATTGGAAATTAAACGGCAAAAACTACATCCAAAGCCTTTCAAGCGCGTGGGTCCCTATAGTGAAGTGGTTAGCGAGTCTGCGTGGACAACTGCACGTCTGAAAAACCGGAGTTACTGGGTTCGCTTCCCGCAGTGCCCGGCCTTTCTGCCAGGGTGAGAGGCGGGCGGCGCCATATGGTCTCAGCAGCTGAGTGCGTCGTTAAGCCCCAACGACGACGACAACGCTTTTGAAGCGCAAGGGCAGGATGGAAGACGATTCTCTAAGATCAAATAAGATGACGAGATAAAGTCCTCATTCAACAAAATCTGCACATTAGAATGAAAGGGGGTATTGGACATTTGTGTGGGATTTTGAACTGAAATAGTCATCTTGGAGATCATTTGGCGCAGTCCACAGCGCTGACCTTAAGACCCTAGCCGCTTTCGTTTCTAAGCTAATACACCGCTAAAATGTACGCCGCGTAAATGTGCAACCTATTTCGTGAAAACCTTTTCAAAGTCACCCAGACATCCATAACGCCATTTAACTCCCACCATTCCACTGGTCATGCGGCGAACAAGACAAACAAAAAAAGAAAAAAAGAAAAAGGTTCATATCTGGCGTTCGCGAGCACGATTTCCAGATTTAACGGCCGCCGATCGGCCCTTAACCAATGTTGTGCAACGTGCGACACCACAATCATTGACAACGCGAGGAGCATGTTTACTAAACAGATAAATTGTGTAGTCCAAAGCAGTCTTTTGCACTTACAATCATGCCAATAGGTAAAAGTGAGCTCATCTTATATATGATCCTTGCTTCAACAACCTCGAATACGGGTCCTCTTACCTTTACGGAACCTTATAACAACCGGAACCATTAACAAACCTAACCTAACCTAACCGGAATCTACTACGGAAACTTCAATTCCCAAAAAGCTACACGCCATATCCCGGACCTACACCTAGTTTCAAAACATTCCAGATTGTACGACACAGGGAGTGCACAGAGGGGACATCAACAACCAGGGAGACCACAGCGCATTTTTCTTTAAACGCTACGATCAAATCATAAGCACATGCTTGCACCCGCCCGAGTAAGTTTCCGCGCCCGCACATCCCCTTCAGCCCCTCCCCCTCCGATCGAAGCGGCGGGGTGGGTGACTGCCGTCACGTTCCCGTGCAGAGGGCTAGGAGCACCCGAGCGCAGGCGACACGTGTGCGGCCGCAGCCCAGCAGCCACCGCCACCGGGAGGCCGGGCACACCGAGCGACTTGCCTCGCTGGTCGCGTCCGTCGCTGGCGTGTGCTGCGTCCGGGAAAGGTGGTGTTAGAGCGGGTGTGCTGCGTCCGGGAAAGGTGGCTTAGAGTGAGGTGTGCTGCGTCCGGGACAGGTGTCCTTAGAATGGGGAGAGCGGCGTCCGGGACAGGTGGCGTTAGAGCGGGATGTGCGGCGTCCGGGACAGGTGGCGTTAGAGCGGGGTGTGCGGCGTCCGGGACAGGTGGCGTTAGAGCGGGGTGTGCGGCGTCCGGGACAGGTGGCGTTAAAGCGGGGTGTGCGGCGTCCGGGACAGGTGGCGTTAGAGCGGGGTGTGCGGCGTCCGGGACAGGTGGCGTTAGAGCGGGGTGTGCGGCGTCCGGGACAGGTGGCGTTAGAGCGGGGTGTGCGGCGTCTGGGACAGGTGGCGTTAGAGCGGGGTGTACGGCGTCCGGGACAGGTGGCGTTAGAGCGGAGTGTGCAGCGTCCGGTCCTGGTCCGACCCATCGCGCCCATATACGCGCACCCAGAGCGGCCCGGTAACTCAGCCGGCGACGAAAGGAGGGCCAGGGACGGCTGAAGACCAGACCCATCGCTCCTGTCATAAGCGCGAGACAGCCGGCTGGACAGCATGCCGCCTGCTAATTGGGGAGCTATTGGTCTCTTCGGCCACTGTTCACAAACATCGAGGAACGGCATGACACGAACAGGGAGCCTCCGCTCAACTTGCCCTCCGTCGACAGCTGACACCCCCCGGCCCTGGATAAACTGCTGAAGTCGGCGAGCTAGATGTCGGTCAGGCGTGTACAAGTCGCATCAGCAGGTTTACCACAACGTACTGGTTCGACCAAGCCACAGGGCCAAACGCGTAGTGTTCTCCACCGATAACTCCACGTCATGATGACAATCATGACGAAAAGCCGACACCTCTATCAGTGATGGCTGGTTGACGTGATCACCATTGCTTTACGCCTTTACACCCATGGTAGTGCACTCACCTTCCTTCCCTTCTCACTCATCAGCCGCTCGTTTTCTTTCAACATGTCTTGCCTCCAAAGTTCGAAAAAATAGTTCGGGTCAGTGTAGAACTTCAGACCATCTTTGCCGTCGTTTCTGTACATAAAAAGAAGAAAGCAATCAAAACCCATAAGGAGGCGGTGCGTACCACAGCGTTCACGCAAAGACAAATTTTCCGCACGGGTACACCGTCAACGCATGGTCGCACACAAAAAAAGCTAACAAGGCTTTCATACCTCCGAAAATTCGCGGCCAAATGCTTCTAACCTGCGCTTTTTTTACAACGCAGGGCCATTTCACGCTTAAACGGACAAAATTACGCTCACGCGCACATCGCCCTTTTCTCCGTGCACAATCAAGGAGGCAAATTCTGGGTTTTGCCGAAGTGTGTGTGCGTGGTGGTGGTGATGGTAGGGGGTGATGTGGTTCTACCCATCCAATTAACACGCCATTGTAAACGGTATCCGCCAGCTGTGACACTAACTGATAAGCCACGCTTCACGCTTCATACGAGCGGCACGCTCGCTCCATGACAAGCATAAACACGTTATTCGTGCAGCACAACAATAAAGCCGTTCGCAATCAATCAGCCAACACTTGTCATCAAGCCAACTGTGTTTCACGCGCCGCGCGGCCGAGGTGAAACCCTGGTCAACCCAGGATGACCAGCCAGTGGTCGAGAGTGCGGCAAGGTTGTTGCCCTGGGATGTGATCGTCTCTGGCGCCAGGAAGAAACCGCCGGGGCCCGTCGACCTGTTTGGAGAACAGCTGCACCTCAGCGTCGCTCCACCGTCGGGACGACGACGCAACATATGGCGTCGCAGCCCCACCCGGGGACAGGGTGCCGCCAGAGAAGGGGCAGGGGAGTCACAAGACTGTTGCCCCATCTGCAGACTTGCGTTGCCTCCTGACGCCAGCGACCATCATGTCCTGATCATACCACACAGCTGACCCCCCCTGGCTGGTCAGAGTTTCACTCTGGCCACACCGCCTACTCTAAACAGGCTACATCCTGCTTTAGCAGTATGCATGGTATCACAGGTCGTCATATTTAAGGGGACTTCATCACATATGAAATTAAAGCTATTCTCAAGAGCCTCACAACTATCCTTTAAAAACCACCTTCATTAAAGTCATACCTCACAACGGAATCATATGTGACGCGGTGTCTTCGCACATCAGCAGCACATCTCTCACACACAGCGAAATTCGATGCCCATAGTTCGAGCCAACGTCAGCAGTCCCTTCGTACCGACCAATCGGCATCTACCATCCGACATGTGGACCGCCGGCTAGTGCCCAGAGCCCAGCCCGCGGCGAAGCGCGGGCCGCTGACAGGCCGCACCTGAACACGTTCAGTTCGTCGAGCGGCGGCGGCTTGTCGCAGCCAAGGTACGTCTGCAGCATGGCGTCCGGCATGCTCTGCCGACTGACCACCTCCTGGTCCTTCACCACCTGGGAGCGGAACGCCTTCCGCATGTGGATCTCCTGCAGCGACACTGGTGGCAACACGACAGCGCTCGTCAGGCTGGGCTCTTGCGGTGGCCAGCCAGGCCGCGACGCACGGCGGAGCCGAGTATCGGTCACGTGATCTGTCACGACGCACGGCGGAGCTAAGTATCGGTCGCGTGATCTGCCACAACGCACGGCGGACCCGAGTATCGGTCACGTGATCTGTCACGACGCACGGCGGAGCTGAGTATCGGTCACGTGATCCGTTACGATGCACGGAGGAGCTGAGAATCGGTCACGTGATCTGTGCAGTGGAGTCAACAATCCGGGGTCGCGACAGGCGGTATGCCTGCTGGACAGGCGTCGATGAGCATACGGCCTCGTATGCTAACCGACGCCTGGCCTAATATAATATAATACGTCCATTGGCACATGTCGTTTGGCGTACAGCCTCGAGAGCATCGGGCGCCAAACGACAACACAACAGACAACACACTGATCCCCATCTGCGGCACCGAGACACGGCAGTCGGCCGGTGCGCCTCGCCGGGCCAGCCGAACACCAGCTGTGCCGGCGGCAGGCGCGGCGGGACCGGCGGCCGACTCACCCTCCTCGACGGTGCTGTCCAGGCGCGTGACCTTGTCGGCCAGACTGTCGATGCGCAGCTGCAGGCTGGCCGAGCGGTGCACGATGCGCTCGGCCTCGCGGAACAGCTCGCCGAACATGTCCTCGGCGTGGCGCGACAGCGACGACAGCTGGCGCACCACGTGCGTCAGCGTGCCGTTGGTGACAGCCTCGAGCTCGCTGGGCAGCGTCGTGTCGGCCGGCAGCGTGTCGCGGCAGAGCTCCGTCGGCTCCACCAGCCGCTTCAGGAACGGCATCTCTGCAGCCGGACGAGTACACCGTGTCGGGGCACCAGGCTTACCCAAGCAGACATCAACATTACTACATCCGGTCTAAGGAGAATTTGGATAAATGGATGTGTTAAAGCAGGCGAAGTTACCATTGTGGCAGAAGGAGACTCACACGCAACCGACACCCGCCGTCTGAAAGGCGCAGCGGATCTGAGGTTCTACCGCTGGGTGACCAGTTAACCGCGCAAAGAGAGGGTGCAAGACGTACGGGGGCGGGATTCAGACTGAGATAACAGTACATGTCTCGCACAGTCTGATATCTTTAGTTAGTTGGGGGCTATGCGACCCTCGCTAAAGGAGCAGGGCACATACCGGATGGCCATAGCCTGCAAATGTATGGATAAATCTGTGGAGAGCACTGAATGTGTCACGATATGGCACGCGATGGTTCAAACTTTTCAAGACTGACGGATATATCACAGTGTTACACGGGTCCAATAGCGATACCAGAAAATGCCAGAAAAACAGTTTTAATTCTTCATCCATGAATACAAATAGTTTTACATGAGCCATACATTTTCATTCCGACTTAAGTCAAATTCTTGATTGTGATCTCATCCTTGCAGACTACCTTATCACCTAAACACATCAGTTTTCTACATGGTGATTATGAGTGAAACAACTGAATTTCATTGCAGCAATGCAGTTCTTCAGCTGAGAATGAGAGCCCCCAATCTGATCCAGTGACTGGGAGGAGGGATGGGGACTGAAGCACACATTACTAGGGCTTCAACATCACTAGACCTGAACGCGTCAGTCAAGAGCATCAGCAATGGAGGGGGAGGGGGCAACATCAGGGTGCCTGTAGTGTTGTTGACCTGCACATCCGGAAAACCGGAGGTACAGCAATAAGTCTCTTGCAGTGCTTGCCTTTCCTTCCAGGATGAGAAGCATGTGATGTCACCTTGCCTCAACAGCTAAGTGTACTGTCAAGGCCTGATGCCCTAATGCCAATGGTGCCAAGGAAGGGAGGGGAGGGCTGTATTGCTCCCAGAGCCTAGCATCCCCTGCTAACATCATTGTATTGTATTTATTGTTTGGCCTCTTATGTAAACAGTCTGCTCCCCAAGCACCAGTTCAGCCATCATTGGTTTTCTACTTCACCCACCACCCAAACCCCAGGCTCACAAGGACGGCAGCACTTCTGGCCCTGTTCACCAGAATGTGGATAATGATGTGTGAGCTCCCATGATTTAAAATAGCGCATGGTTAATGGCACCCTCTGGCACAGAGGTAAAGCAAAACGAGTCAAACAATTACAAAACCAAGCTGTAATTTTATGACACACTCTATGACATACTCTGGACACACTCTATAGAAAATAGTGGTATGATTACACATTTGTATGACATGAATTATGTGACACACTATGATATAACACACTATGATGATAAGGTAGATATGGCTTTATTGTGTTGCCTGCCCCTTAGCCAGACAAGATGGGCAGGTCCAGCAGGCATTCTTACCCCATACCTCTGATTTCTGAGTTGCACAGCATGAACATTAAGCTGTTGGTAGCCCACACATTCATAAGTGGTAGTTTGTAATTGTGTGCATTTTACCCCATGTGGAGCAAGATGAAACTAGCAAGTGAAAACCAATAAATGAGGACTGAGAGTTCACAAGGTCATTACCTGTGACATTCAAAATAAAAGTTAATTAAAGTTAAGCTAAACCAAAATAAAGTTAACAACACATTTTGTAGTTTGGATCACAGAGGCCAGTACTCCTCAAACTGCCTGTCTCGCCTGATGGAAAGAAGCATAATGAGCTATGTTTTAATTATGCATGCTGACAGGAGTAATGTCCCACAGTGAGTACTGGTGAAGACAGGTTGCTATGCATTAGAACACAGCAATCAATTCAAAATTTAGGAGCAAATATTTCAATTTTGTGAATACGAACATCTGGTACAGCAAAAATTAGTGATAGAATATCCACACAAATTGTGTGACTGCTGAACATGCAAACAAACATTACAAACTTTGAACCTGATAAATGGTTTATGCTTTGCACCCCTGCTGCAGAAGGCCAAACATCAAAGGCATCTTAAGCAAATTGCATGTCAATGCCAACACACCAAAGGTTTGAAGAGAAATCCTGTTCAAAGAGTTAACAAACCATATCATCAAAGGGCTTGCTGTGCAAGACCTGCATGAGGCGCAAGGAAATTGGTTGCATACATGACAAAGCTAAAAAGACTCATGAAAATAATGGGCTTCTCAAGCCAACCTTCAATGCAGGTCTTTCCTCCTGGCTTCACCCTTGACAACTAGCATTTGCCAGACAAACTGTTGACCAAAATTACCATGCTTGAGCAGAACAATGAAACACAGCTAACTGAATATTCAAGACATGGCATCAAACATCATGCCAACCTGTGACACAATGCTCTTCTACAGATGCATGCCAGCAATGCAATACATCCTGTGAGTGTGGGAGGACCCAATGCTTTCAAAAGTACTTGAATGGTCAGATACCTCATCTATGTCACAGACCACCTGCCTGTACTTTGGATGCAGGAGATGGCATCTTCTCAGACCTCCAGGTCCAGTCAGCAAAAACAAAAACATTCACTATGGCTGATGCTTGGCATTTATGCAACGAGCCTGGTCCATGTGTGCACCAAATTGAATTGAAAGTCTGACTGAACCTTAATCTGAATCTGAAAAACATTGTTGTTTGAAAACAATATTCCACATTATAGTGGATATGACTATTTTCCATGTTAATCCAGTCTGCAAACAAAATTTCCATTGCACCATGCACTTACATGACATCAGTGCTCAGATAATAAAGCATGCTTGTCCTGAACTCAGGCCAGGCCAAGTTATGCTGAATTTGCAAATTATGTTTGCTGAACAAGTGTTTTGGAGGTGTCCTTGCCTGAAATTATCTCAGGAACTCCCTTATCAATGCATCCAATCAGTAATTACCTTAGCAACATAATTCTTAGACACATTGGTTATCTATACACTGAAATTGGTGGCAACTATGCACAAAAATTCTGGCTCTTAGATCTAAAGCATGCATAAATGAAAACAGCTGCCAGCATGAGGCCATCACTTGTGACAAACACACTCAGAGTGACTGACATGTTTCCAATAGTACAGATCTGCCTTCCAATTACCAATGTGATATCCTCATTCTTTGGTTCTCCATGTGCTGAAAATAGTGGCAACTAAGACTCATTGTCTCTGTCATAAAAAAATGTTTGACATGATTTTATAGCTATACCAAGCACCAACCATCCTCAGCTAACATGCACTTTGTTAAGTCAGGCTACAGTTGTCCTTGGAACCACCATAGGAAATAGTAAAGGAAAATCCTAATAAAATATCAGACATGCTTGCATTTTCAGCCAGTGTGGGATTCAGGGCACCATACTTCAACATAGAGTGAAAAATGCTCAGGAAGTCCACTGAGATAGAGTCAAACATAATGCAGGCATCTCAGAATAACATGTGGTTTTGACAACAAAATATTTGAGTGGAAAATATAACAAGTAAGCCACCCTGTACCTAAAAGCATGGACATTCCACAATATAACCTGACTTTGCAAAGCATGCTGCATTGCAACGAGAGTTAGCACTGGGATCAAACTAAAAGAAATACATACTGCAGGTGAGCATGTCCATGAAAATCATGGCAGCAAAATTAGTGTGCGCATGTCCTATGATGTACATAGCTTGATCCTGCTCAGAGTTTGGCATGCAGTCAACAGCAATTTTTAAGCAATGAATTCAGGCCAATATTTTAAGTAGCTGTTATGTTGCCGAGGCAATTTCCGGCAATCATGCTCTCTATTTTAACTGTTGTGTCTGGCCTGAGCTCGGTGCACATATGTGCGAGGTTCAGCGCACCAATGTCGAGACGTCCGGTGAGGCCCACGGATTTTTTGCAGACTGGAACTCGGCAACTGAGGTATTATTTTACCACAAAATAATACATACCTTCTCAGTGCAGGAAGCTGTATATACCTAAGGGAACCCAGTCTTCAGCTCTAACTTGGGCACCGAGCTTAGGACCCCGACAGATATGCCTTAACTGACATCGCAGATCGCACCCTGTGCTCCACCCAGAATTCCCCAGTAATTTTTTCCTGTCTCGCTGAATGGAGAATAACGCTGTCACATTTGCAAATAACTGTAATTTGTGCGTCACGTCTGGCGCTATCTGGTGCTACCAAATAACAATCCTAGAAAGTGCTGAATAAAAGAAATTAACGAACAGCATTCCGACTTCCACGTCGCTCCGATGCCTTGGGCTTCAATGCACTATTCTAGCGGCAGGGGCAGCGCCACCATGGGGTCGGGTGGCCGCACAAAGCAAATATATTTACATCTTCCGTAGCGCTCATGGGTCGTCAAGGAGCAATACGCTTCAAACCTCCCGTCTTCGTCCGCCCCCCCTCCCAGAATCAGCGTCAAAACAAAAACTGATAACGCGCGTGGTGATGCCCATGCCCTTTGCTTTTCATTTTATTAGGCTGTGGCTTGCTTCGTTAAAAAGCCCTGCAGCACATAATCACAACGTAAAGACGAAGTAGACCCACGCCGATCGTCCCTCTGGGGGGATCGCGGGCCGAACGATCGCCACCGGTCCCTGCAGTCACGTAAGCTCACGGATTGATGCACGTCAGCATATAAGCTTGGCTCAAGGATTTCAGTCTGTCATTTGGTATCCACTCTGCCATGCAGCCGCGGTGCAGTGGAACCGCCGCATAAGCAGAAACGCGTCCGGATAAACCGGTTTACCGAGCTAGGCGGCGAGTCCAGCGCGGGTGATCTCCGCAGGCGATTGCCAAATACAGCGTCCCGCTGCAGCGCGGATCCCAGGAAGGGAAACCACAATATACAGCAGAGGATTGGGGTTTTGCCGTTTTGAAGCTCGAAGGTAAACGTTTGCAACATGCCTCACGGCGTGTGCCCGTCCTTTCAGTGTGCCATTCGGGGTCGCGTCTTTTCCCAAGTAAACCCCCCGGCGGTACGCTCCATATGACGGATATTGGTGGAGCTGTGAAAATGACTAGATGAGTCTAATTCGACCACATATATCTGCAAAGAAAGGACAGCACGCCCTTCCATTGCGCAAATTACCTTCACTCTTCCTCGTGGCACATCTTACGTATATATGTCGTGTATTAGCCGAACGAAAGCAGCAAAATATCGCTAGAATACCAAGTCTATCAAACAACTAACGACATACAAAGTCATCCAGCAGGGCAACGTCAGCAATCGCGACAAAAAATAAACATACAGTACCCTATTTGAGCAGCGGGGTACAAAACATGTGCCAAGGAGTAAGCGATACAACACACGTGCAAATCACCACCATCGGCGAAAATGACTTGTATGAAATCTCACGCACGCATTGCAATCTTTGACTCACACTCGGCGGTGCCCATTCCCTTTTTTGTCAACATGACGCCAACGGGAGGACCGTGGATGTTCTCCGTGCCTGCTGCACCAATCCACCCGGGAAATAAAAAACACATCCGTGGTCAGTCTGGACAAAAGCAGGACCAACCTCGACACGTCCTCGGCGCCGCGTCCACAAGCCCCATTCACAACCTTCCTCACACCCCGTGGCAGCTGTACTACCATGTCGACCGATCAGCAGTGTGTCCCACGTCACGAAAATGGCCACAAGTCAGCCACACGTCCACCTCTCACTCACTCGTGGCCGCCACATCGACGCCAGTCCCCGTCTCTGTCCGTCTGCGGTTGCCATGCCATGGTCGCTGGTCTGTAATCCCTGGCTAATCTGTCCACGTCTCTGCCAGCCCGTTTGTAGTTGCCAAGCCATGGTCCCTGTCCACGTCGCTGATCTGTAATCCCCGACTGATCAGTCCACGTCTCTGCCAGTCTGTCTGCGGTCGTCATGCCATGGTCCCTGTTCTGTCGCTGGTCTGTAATCCCCGGTTGATCAGTCCACGTCTCTGCCAGTCTGTCTGCGGTCGTCATACCATGGTCCCTGTCCCCGACGCCGGTTTGTAATCCCCAACTGATCAGTCCACGCCTCTGCCAGTCTGTCTGCGGTCGTCATGTCATGGTCCCTGTCCCCGACGCCGGTTTGTAATCCCCGACTGATCAGTCCACGTCTCTGCCAGTCTGTCTGCGGTCGTCATGTCATGGTCCCTGTTCCCGTCGCTGGTCTGTAATCCCCGGATATCAGTCCACGTCTCTGGCGTGGAGCGGGATGACGATACGCGGTCCGAACGGCGACACGTACTCAATGCGCTGGCTGCGGAACACCTCCGTCGGCACGTTCAGGTTGCAGAGATAGACGGCGCCCTGCTGCGCCGCGTAGCCCAGCGGCAGCACGGCGCCCAGTGTAAACTTGCAGTCGATGGCCGGCAGCTGGGCGCGGCCGGGCGGCGCCGGTGGCGGGTCCAGCGCCAGCACCGGCGCGCGGCTACCGTTGGCCCAGGCCACGGCCGCTCGGTGCCACGGCTGGAAGGCCAGCTGCGACGACAGCTCGTGGTCGTCCAGAGAGCAGACGATCAGGTCCACCGTCTCGGGCAGCTCTGCGACGGCGCGGGATGGCCGTCAGCGCGGCGCGCCGAGCCCCACAGCACGGCACGCCGAGCCCCACAGCACGGCACGCCGAGCCCCACAACACGGCACGCCGAGCCCCACAACACGGCACGCCGAGCCCCACAGCACGGCACGCCGAGCCCCACAGCACGGCACGCCGAGCCCACAGCACGGCACGCCGAGCCCCACAGCACGGCACGCCGAGCCCCACAGCACGGCACGCCGAGCCCCACAGCACGGCACGCCGAGCCCACAGCGCGCGCGCCGAGCCCCACAGCACGGCACGCCGAGCCCCACAGCACGGCACGCCGAGCCCCACAGCACGGCACGCCGAGCCCACAGCGCGCGCGCCGAGCCCCACAGCACGGCACGCCGAGCCCCACAGCACGGCACGCCGAGCCCCACAGCGCGGCACGCCGAGCTCCACAGCGCGGCACGCCGAGCCCCACAGCACGGCACGCCAAGCCTCACAGCGCGGCGCGGCACGCCACGGCTGTCGTCAGACGCCTATAGCCACACCAACGCACCAGCGGGACGAGTGGTGAACACATTACGGTGGCGTCCATCGCAAACACGATCGGCCAGAACCAAAGTCACTTGTATCATCGATGCTGGGTAGTGAATCGGTGCTCAAGATTTCAGTAGACACCACTTCTGACAACCACTCACCCTACTTCTGATTCCGGATGTAGCGAAAGATGATTCGAAAGAATCATCTAGTTTTCAGAAGAAAAACCAGGGAGCTACACATGTGCGCCATCGTCGAACTGACGGACACAGAGAGCACGCCGGCGCGCCCCACGTGTGACGGTGCGTCAGCCGCGCCGGCGCGTGTCCCACCTGCGACGCTGTGCGTCAGCCGGCCGCCGGTGAGCTTGTAGAGCTGCAGCTCGGTGCTGAGCGCGCGACACGTCAGCGCCACGTCCGGCAGCAGCACGGTCACCCGCACGCCGTGACCGGTCAGCTGGCGGGCGCCGTTCAGACCTGCGGCCGGCGGCGGGTCACGCTCAGTCGGGCCCGCCGGCGCCGGTCGCGACGAGGCACCCGGCCGGCGCGTCAGCCCCCGCCGCTCAGGCAGGCGCGTTCCCACACGCCAAGGACGGGGGCGACGCCGACGGATAACGCTACAACGGCAGATGACGCGACACCGGCGGATGGCGCGACACCGGCAGATGACGCGACACCGGCGGATGGCGCGACACCGGCAGATGGCGCGACACCGGCGGATGGCGCGACACCGGTAGATGGCGCGACACCGACGGATAACGCTACACCGGCAGATGACGCGACACCGGCAGATGACGCGACACTGGCGGATGGCGCGACATCGGCAGACGGCGCGACACCGACGGATGACACGACACCGACAGATGGCACGACACCGGCAGATGACGCGACACCGGCGGATGGCGCGACACCGGCAGATGGCGCGACACCAACGGATGGCGCGACACCGGCAGATGGCGCGACACCAACGGACGATGCGACACCGACAGATGGCACGACACCGACGGATGACGCGACACCGACAGATGGCACGACACCGGCAGATGGCGCGACACCGACGGATGGCGCGACACCGGCAGATGGCGCGACACCGACGGACGACGCGACACCGACAGATGGCACGACACCGACGGATGACGCGACACCGACAGATGGCACGACACCGACAGATGGCGCGACACCGACGGATAACGCTACACCGGCGGATGACGCGACACCGGCGGATGGCGCGACACCGGCAGATGGCGCGACACCGGCGGAAAACACTACACCGGCAGATGACGCGACACCCGCAGATGACGCAACACCGGCGGATGGCGCGACACCGGCAGATGGCGCGACACCGACGGACGACGCGACACCGACAGATGGCACGACACCGACGGATGACGCAACACCGACAGATGGCACGACACCGGCAGATGGCGCGACACCGACGGATAGCGCTACACCGGCGGATGACGCGACACCGGCGGATGGCGCGACACCGGCAGATGGCGCGACACCGACGGATAACGCTACACCGGCAGATAACGCGACACCGGCAGATGACGCGACACCGGCGGATGGCGCGACACCGGCAGATGGCGCGACACCGACGGATGACGCGACACCGACAGATGGCACGACACCGGCAGATGACGCGACACCGGCGGATGGCGCGACACCGACGGATGGCGCGACACCGGCGGATGGCGCGACACCGACAGATGGCACGACACCGACGGATGGCGCGACACCGCAGGATGGCGCGAAACCGACAGATGGCGCGACACCGACGGATGACGCGACACCGGCGGATGGTGCGACACCGACAGATGGCACGACACCGACGGATGACGCGACACCGACAGATGACGTGACAATGGCGGATGGCGCGACACCGACAGATGACGGGACATCGACAGATGGCGTGACACCGACGAGCGTTTGCGCAACCTGCGATCCCGTTGTGAGGCGAGATACCTTTGCGCATTTAACCAAAAATAACGTCATTCTGGCGCATTAAAACTCTTTCACTTTAAAATTGTTCGGGTACTAATAATAAATGTCTGGGAGCTATATACATCTGGGTTCCTTAACAAAGCAACAAGAGAAACAATAAAACTAAACAAGACAACGTCAACCGAAGCAGCAAGGACGCGTGCCTTGCACTAATAGCACCATACTATGTACTCCTCTAAGACCGTGTTAACGGAAGGCCGAGCCGGGGCCGGGGCCGCGGGCAGGGCCGCGGGCAGGGCCGCGGGCCGGTGCGGCCGGCGCGTCCGCTCCACCGGCACGTACCTGCCGCTCCCTGCGAGTGCGGGCCGCAAAGGCAGACGACGCGCGGCGCCTGGTGCACGTTCTCAGGCAGCAGCCTGTAACGGCGACCGACGCTGGTCATAGACGGGCAGATGGCAGAGATGGTCAGAGACAGATGACCCGGTCACAGGCTCGGGGACGGCCCACAGCTGAGCCTGTCACGTGACACACCTAGGACTGCTGCATGGGCACCAGCTCCGAGACGACACATCCCTAGGTCCACTACACCGGCACATATTCTAAACGGCATAAACTTGGCATAATCCGGCATTTAGCTACAAAATGAGCAGTTAGATACTTAGTGGTCATAACCTCACAAGCCCGCTAATCGTTTATCGCCACAATCCTAAGCGCTAGCATCGGCATGCACGCCTGTCACTGCCAGCGCACGCCTGAGTCAGCACCCGCGAACGAGCGGTGCTGCACGCGCCGGTACCTGGCGTGACTGCCGACCAGCTGCAGCGCCATCTCGGTGCAGCCGCGGCCCAGCATCTCCTGCTGGCGGCCCATTGTCAGACCGTGCCGCTGCGCCGTCTGCAGCAGCGTGTCCCGAGCCCGGACTGTCACAGATGGCACCACCAGGCCCGTGTCTGTGGGGAGGGGGCGGATGGTCACAGGCGGCACCACCAGGCCCGTGTCTGTGGGGAGGGGGGCGGGCGGTCATAGATGACACCACCAGGCCCGTGTCTGTGGGGGTGGGGGGACGATCACAGATGGCACCACCAGGCCCCGTGTCTGTGGGGGGGGGGGGGGGAGGATCACAGATGACACTACCAGGCCCGTGTCTGTGGGGGGGGGGGACGATCACAGATGGCACCCCAGGCCCATGTCTGTCGGGGGGGGGGGGGACGATCACAGATGGCACCACCAGGCCCGTGTCTGTGGGGGGGGGGGAGATCACAGATGACACTACCAGGCCCGTGTCTGTGGGGGGGGGAGATCACGGATGACACTACCAGCCCCGTGTCTGTGGGAGGGGGGGGGGGGGGGTTCACAGATGACGTCACCGAAAATGCCTGCTCACAATGCAACCAATTGGTGACAACTCAATTTCTCGTCTCCACCGAGCACCGTTCGGGCACAATGCCACGCCAGAATGGCTGAGGCCCCGCATCTGGGTCGTGCTGCGCTAACCGGCGCGGCCGCCAGCGCACCACCAGTCCAGCACTCAGTCCGGCGAGCGGACAGCACACAGCACAGACCGCACGCAGTCCGGCGAGGCGGCCGCGCGCGCGCGCGCGCACCTGTCACGAACTCGACCTCTGGCGTCTCCGGCACTACGATGCGGTTGTAGCGGACTGGCGCCGCCTGGATGACGTTCTGGTCGTGTCGGTACTTGGCCTCGACCCGCTCGGCCGGCCGGCGCCGGTTCGTGTCCACCAGTCGCACCACGTCCGGCTGCTGGCTGTCGATCTCCTCGAACACCGCCTGTCGACACGCCCGTATCCTCACACAACGCTCCAAAACTTGCCCCCAAACTCCCGTCATCGTCACACAAACGGCGCCCGCCAGGCAGGCAGGGCCGCGGCAAGGAACGGCCCGACCGCCGCGTGACGCTTACCGACGCTTACGTAGATTCCGGGACAGGGCTTACCGATTCCAGTGTGCCAAGGCAGACGTAATTTCCTGCCGGAATAGCACACAGCTCGCGATTTGCTTTCACTGTTTGTGTTAACTTCAAGCTGCATTGCCGTGTCTTTTAGTTTTTTATTTATTTAGTGCAACCATTTCGTTCAGCTGAAATTTGACGCAACTTAACTCAGAGCTCAACTCTTGGAATAAGTGGAATTTTAGCCAGATGTAATGCCATTGCGATGCTTTTGTTAGATAACAAAGGCAACAATGCATTTGCAATGTAACATAGCTGAACAATGAACCACATACCTGCTTGTCGAAGAGAGCTAAGTTTTTTTCGAAGTCAAATTCTTCATTTTTAAAGTTGTCAGTCGGGGTCGAAAAGCACTGCTCATTTTTTGCCTGCTGCCGGGCACGTGTCGATTTGGGATGATTCGCACCTGCAAAAATGGATGAAATTGTTACGTTTTCCACCATAAACATTGACTTCAATTAGCATAATCACGCTAGGGATGACTGTCATCAATGATCTAGAACGTGCACGTTAACTTCATATTTGAGCCCACTCCACGCCAGACCCCACCTCGGCTCTTTTAAAATTCGGAGCGAGGCAAAAACTGACAGAATTTCCGTGAGTCAAGCTTGATTTGGATCCCAAATATAAAAAGCGATTCTGAATCAGATCCAGTTCTTGCGACTAGCACTAGCTTAATCAACATTGCACCAACACATGGACATGCTTCTTGTAGGTGTGATTTATTAAGGATGTTGCTGCAAAGGGATATAAAAAGTTTGGTGACTTTGTTTAGCACTGATGCATGGTCAGGAATGAGTGAAGCTTCTTGAATGATGAGTTCCGTTCTGTCATTTGGAGATGTTAAAATTCTAGGGTTTCACTTGGGGATTTGGTGTGTGTGAGAAGCACTCAGCTCACGTTGCATGTGGTCTCTTGGTGCACTTCCGTGGGATGTATTGTGAGGCGTCGGGACAAGGATGTTTGTGTTACACCAATGGTGGATACGGAACGAAGCCTGCAAACTTTACTGGGAAGTATTTGTGTACTTCACTGGTGCACTTCAACACCCGTCCTGATTATTGTTTTTCATAATAAGATCTCTAGTTTTGCGATTTCCGTAAATATCTGCAATCTAAGCATATTTCCGTCTACCCCTGTTACGTCTCAAAATACTCAACTCTTCAATACCTTCTCGTCCATTTTTTTACGTTGAATTCATGAAGTTACCGTAGCTGGTGTTGTGGATGTCATGGTATGCAGGCTTTTGACAGTGGTTCAAGTGATCATCACGCGAGTGATAAATTTCTATGTCCACTTCGCTATTCGTGTACACGTCGTTCACTGGTATTTGTATAACACGGCTCAGTTCAGCGTGTAAGAGCTCACCGTTCGAACACGTGCCCAATGTCCCACAACAAATGTTTTTTATATCTTTCGGAACATTAAATACAGGCATTTACCGTAACACAAAGTCAGAGAGCCCCCATATACGGTTGTTACCGAACGTTCCTCGCAGTGTTGGAAAACTTGACGTTTCCTGGTATAATGTATACCATGAGATTTTGTACTCCAGGATTGTGACTAGGCAAAATGGAATATTTGTACTCCACCATGATGCAACAAGAAACAGCTTTTGGAAAAACTCATTTTACCTCTGTGTCAGGAAAAAATAAAACCAGAAGGTCCAACAGCTGAGACTTGCTGCTTCCATCAGCAGCCATGTATTGATATCTGCAAGAGCACAAATCTTGCACGCACCAGGCTAAGATGCCCAATAGCAAGCAGCCTGTGTTGCCACCTGGGTATATGATAAACCATGTACGGAAATGTGAAAATAAATCGTGTGAATGTTAAATGGAATCGCCTTTGAACAATGCCGGGAAACGAGAAACAAGCTCCAGAATCGCACCGGTCTGTAGATTAGCAAAGCTTTCATTTCCTATACCCTACGCGGACAAACTCTAACTTGAACATGACTTAACCTTCTATTGACGACGAGCCGCATTGATTGCCGAGGATGCAACGAACATACATAAAAAACCACACAACCAATCACCTGCCGCAGACGGCCGCCTACCCACGTGCCAACACTGTATCATGGCAATGCAAATAAGAGAATCACTCGCAATTCAGCGTCGGAAACGTCTCAACTATTCAGCGGCTTGCGCCCGCCTCCTAGCTCAGGTTAGAGATTGAACATAGCAAAACTCTCCAACTGGTTTTAATGATTCGCCTCCTCGTGACTGATTTGTCAACAGCATAAATATTCTGCTTGCGCTCATGCCTTCATTGTAAACATTTGGAGGGAAGCTGTATAGAGATGGTCATCACGATTATGAAGGACTTATTTGTACTCATCCAGAACCGCCATGTGGCTGGATTTTTGGCTACTTCCTGGTATCGGGAGTACAAAAATGTTACGGTAGCTGCGGATGTAAACCAAATTAAATTTGTCACTGAAGGATGTGAAATTAAAGCTGATAATTCAGGTTTTACAAAAATACCATTTTAAGTCGAAAAACGTCGGTATAAATAGCCAAAAAACTGTTCGGAGACAGCTATCTCACTCCGACAAAACACCAGGACACCAGAGCAACATGAACCCATAACTTTGGCCCCGCAAATTAAGGAGAGGGGTTTATAAGAACAAAAACATTAATTGAATGCAACATAAATTATCATATTTTGCAATGATATCGGTTAAAGCGCATCAAATCCACAAATACCTTGCATTATCCGAAGGAGTCAGCGGGGTGACTGACTCCGATCCCTTCTGGCCGGCCTACACGGGTCTGTCAGGCATTGCACTTGCGCTGGCTCGGTAAATCGGTTCAGAGTACTGCCTGTCTCTATTGTTCGGGTGGGATGTGCAGGGCCTCGTGTGTTGACCGGGAGTGGGAAGGTGGAGGGCATGAATGTTTAGCTGTTTTCAAAAGCAGTTAGCTGGTGGAGCGAAAGTAGTGTGACCGTGTGAGCGGCGTGATTGTGGTGGAGCATAAGTAGGTGGCCGTCTGTGGCATGTTCCTTTGCATTTTTTGTGTACCATTTTTGTCTGGCTGTGCGTATTGTACCACACGCCATTTCTACGTCATGCAATATGAGTAACAAACAAACCCTGACCAGTAGCTTCGCGATCCGTCTTTTTTGGCGCTTGGAAAGCTTTTCTTGGTGAGCTTCGAGCTTCGCCAGTAAGCTGAGACTTCATCTGCTCGCCAATATTCCTGAGGGTAATGCCACGAACAACGTTAACAGACATACAATCCACACTGCAAACTCTCTCTCTCTCTGTCTCTCTCTCTGTCCGTCTCCGTCTCGTCTCCGTTCTCTTCTCGTTCTCCGTCTCCGTCTCCGTCTTCCGTCTCCGTCTTTCCGTCTCCGTCTCCGTCTCTCGTATCGTCCCGTCATCCGTCTCCGTCTCCGTTCTCCGGTCTCCGTCTCCGTCTCGTCTCCGTTCTCCGTCTCCGTCTCCGTCTCCGTCTCAGTATTCCGTCTCCGTCTTCCGTTCTCCGTCCTCCGTCTCCGTCTCCGTCTCCGTCTCAGTCTCCGTTCTTCCGTCTCCGTCTCCGTTCTCCGTCCTCTCTCTCCTCTCTCTTCTCTCTCTCTGCTTCTCTCTCTCTCTCTCTCTCTCTCTTCTCTCTCTCTAATGATATATATATTATAATACTATATTACTACTATATATATATACTTTTTTACGGACAGCACAAATTGGTGTCTATCCATAAAGGTTATCCAGCCAAGCTATCCAACATATTTGCTATAGCCTGTGCACAAAATAAAAGCATTAAAAACAATTTTTCAGCATCAAAAATATTTTTAAAACCACAAGAATAGTGTCAATTTTACCTTGACTTCTTTTGGATGAGGGGCACACTTGACTTTTGAACAACTTTAGGATCAGGAATCAAGTTGATGATCTCCAGTTTTCTTACATCTTGGACACTGAAAAGGGGACATCACACTCAATTCTTACACATTACTCAGACAAAACACAACTGGATACCAACTAACCACATGAAAAAAACAAAACAGTACATAGGGACAGTATACAAGCCATGGTTAAGCATATACAATGGACTGTTGTGCAGTCCATCTATGTCACCCATATACTCAGTCAGTGCGCCCTAAAGCCCCAATCAACAACAAAAACCCATATACTCCAACACTCCACTTGCCAATCAACAGCACCACATGATCTCACACAAGGCAACCAGACAGTGCAACAGAATAGCTGACCAATGTGAGCACAATCAATGCTTTCATACTTACCTAAAGGTCAGATCTTGCATTGTGCAGGGCACTCCATTTCTAAATGGCTTGGTGATAGTCAAGGTCTGATCTTCATTATTTATTGCAGACACAACACCTTGATATTGTCCCAAAGCTGCACCACAATCCAGGCTTATTGTTGCTCCAACATACTGCTCCATCCTGATCACAAGCTTATGCAGCAGGCAGGTACTATCTGCAAAGAGGAAGCATCACTTGAAACATTTTTATAAGCTCCAGCTTTAGTCATGGACATTTTCACTGCTGACAGGGATCTCTTTTTTTAGACAAGTTTGTGTCAAAACATCACAATATGACAATACAAATAGTGCTACAACAGTCCATGAATCATAGTGGATTTTTACACCTGCCTGTATGAGACTGAACACCTAACATTCATGATCAACATTTTGATCTATAACTCTTAACACAGAATTTTCATGTGAGTTGGTACCTGGTGTGCTATGATGAACTAGTGCATTCCATGTTATTGGGACACTGTCAAGAGACAAAACCTGGCTAGACTAGATCACATGGAAGCAGATATGCTTGACCAAAACAGGCCAGGCTGAGCTGGGCAGAGCTGGGTCAGGCTGGGCCTTGCCTTGGTGCAATAAACTTTGCACAAGTAAATTTGTGGCAAATTTAGGCAAATTTAGATGCCCTTTGTGCATTCTCTTAAGTGGTTGCAAGGATGTTACTCCCATGTCAGATGACAGTTCAACTGCTCAGTGTAAAAAGTATGTTCACAGTTTGGACAGATGCCTCTAATGTGTATCTATCATGTAAGAAATAAGTGAAATTTCCCTCCTTAAAAATTACGCCAGCAATACACTCTCTAATGCGACGTGAAGCAGCTGTTATGACACACTGGCAACGGGACGCATTAAGAATCAGCAATGGAATGTGAAACCATATAATGGAAATAAGACGAAAATGCCCGGATCGCCACCTGCACCACACATTAAATTTCTCCGTATGACACTCAAGCGATCCCCTCTGGCACCCCAACCGCCCACTCAACAAAACATACTTTTCCAACACTCATCGAACTGATTCAGTGCCCCGTCGGTCACACCGAGGCTCAAAGCCGTGTAAGGGGGTAGGATCCGTCCGCGATTTTAGCGGTCCACCCGCTCAACGTTGGCTGTGACGTCATTGGAGTAATCCTCTCAGCATGCCCCTGCGTGGGTCCGCACGTGGACTAATCTTCCGAACGGAATCAGTTTCACAAAAAAGAAGTTTAGCCACCTCGGCTACTTTACGCACACTTTGCAATGAAAATCCGCTTGTTTTTGTAATGGTGCCGACGTCATCGACAAATGCAATCTTGTTCAGGAGAGGTCATGTCAGGCTCACCGTTCTCGCGCCTTTGTCGCCGCTGGATTCTGTCATCCAAACGCGGGTGTTGCTGCAACTGCTGGGTCTTGGCTAGTGTTTCCCTCTGTGCGAGTTGACCAGAGCCGTGATCCAAGGGCTAGTGGGGAGTTGTTGGTCAGGCCTCGTTGCGATTGGACAGCAATACGCTGTCCCGTGTGAACTGTTGCGTCACCTGCTTACGAGAGCTGCCCATCAGAGGAAGCGAAGGCGGAACACTAACGGCCCTCTTTCCAGGCCAGCCTGGCGGTCAAACCGTCTCGGATCCCGAATCTGGATGTCCCGGCTGAGCTTGGCGAGCGGTTTGTTACGAGCCGTGGTGGTTGGAGCGATGTTTTCAAAGCAGGCCTCAGGTGCTTAGTCGGGAGACAACTCCCGCCTTGACATCGGCAACCTTCATGCAGAGGCCCGGACACGCGTTACAAGGTAGCCCCTGTAGCCCCACCACGCTCAACACACAGTTTAGTTTATGTCTTCCAAGGTGGCCACTAAGGCTTCGGTAAACTCTATACAGTCTGGGCCAGGTGTCCAAAGCACGTGACCAAAGCAGGCTGCGCAAAGATCTCAGGCCACACGTCCAAACGCAGTGAACTGCTGCTCTTAACTCAGCAGACTCCTTACATAGTTCACCTCATGCGCTCCAAGGTAGTATAGGACTATAGGTCAAACATACATGTCGGTCCGCGCGTCTCAAAAGGGCCGTTGCGGGTCGCACACACATGGGTTAGTTCCTGCGTCATAAAGCGGCCGGAGGCCCGCTCCTTTGCTATTTGCCTGCAGCAGGGAGGACAGAAATCGCTGCGCCCCGTTCATCGTCAGCCCCAACACGATGTGATTCTCAAACAACTTCATGCCGATGCCGGAGCAACTCAGTTGACACGCCTTCGGTTAATCGGAATGACACCAAAAAATATTTGTGGCATCCAAGAAGTCATCAACTTTGCAGCAGAAGAAATCTTTGGTCGTAAAAAGTTCAATGACGTTTCGGATCTTCTGACGAAACTCGGCTGGCTCTCTGCAAGCAGCCTCGTCAAATTCCGCACATCGACGCATCTTTACAAGATCCTATGGTCTGTTGAGCCAGAAGCGCTGGCCGGTGAGTTTTGGGAGGTTCACAAACCCAAGATCGCCGCATAGGGCAGGGTAAAGTTTTGTTCATTCTTAGGTCATCCACGGAGATGGGAGGGAGGAGCTTTTATTTACGAGCTACCATCCAGAATAACTCCCTTCCCAGTGACTTGATACGATCCCCCAGTGCGAGGTTCGGCCGTGTACTGAGGCGCCACCTACTACCTCGAAGCCCACCCTGACTGCCGAATGGTCCCAGCTGTGTGTACATGCGTCTACGTGTATTTGTGTGTATATTTATAAATGACTGGTCTGAAAATAGCGTGAGACAGGTTGAAGACACTGATGTAATGGTTGATCGCTTCACGGAAGCGCGAGTAATCCCCCATCCCCCCCCCCCCCCCCCCCCCCCGTCGCCGCAGTGAGAGACGTGGCCGTCGTCCTGAGAGGTACAGCGAATGGACCGTGCAGTCTGCATGGCGGGGGATGAGGAGGTGGGTGCGGAAGGACGGGGCAGGGCCACGACAAACTCGCGAGAGAGGGGAGGGGAGGGGACAGTGCGGTGTAGCGCGTTATTGTTGCGTGCACCTGGACGCGTCTCTGTGGCCGAACGCCAGAGGCGGGGGCCGACCGGCCGCCGCGGCCAAAGTTCACGCGGACGCCAGTCAGCGGATGCGGGTGAGAGCGCGCGTGTATCACAACCTGAACAGGTGGCTGGGAATGTCTAACTTTCAGGTTAATGTTGATAGGTTTCTGAGCATATTGACGTTCAGGCCGCGATGCGAGGCATTCGACTGAGCGTGGCAGGGTTATGGCGACAAGTGGGATGACGTCACGGTGCTCGTGAGTGATCGTTTGGCGGCGGCGCGCAGTTGTGCCTTCTGATCGGTCGGCTTTCGCCCGTTCGGCGCCGCCTCTCAAAGAGGTCGGGGTCACCGATGACCTTTCTTCTGATGATCCTCCGGCAGGCTACCGCGTCTGACGTGGGGAGCGCGGGTGGTAGTGAGGCTGGCGGTGAACTGCGAGATGGCTGCACAGGGCATGACTGCATTCTGTTACTCCGTGTGGCTGGAAGGGAATCGTTGGTGAAAAGTTTGCTACTGGCTGTGGCTGGTGACTGCAGTCTTGGCGTTAATGGCTAATGGCTTTTACAGGCTTACATAATCTCAACTTTTTCAGAACCAGCTCTTAACACACCAGAACTAGCTGGGGGGGGGGGGGGGGGGGGCCACTCGCCAGCTTTCAAGTTCAAGGGGGTGGGCTTCCCACACTGACACCCCTCCCCTCTCGGGTTCCCTCGTCCTTGGTGGTATTTTAAGCTTCCAAATTTGCCACTGCGTAAAATGCTGCGACAAAAACTTATCTGTTGAAAAGTAGTCGGCGAAATCTAGGCGCACAAAACTCTAGCGCTATAGGGGCCATTGATTCGAATTCGAAATCCTGACCAGCCTGTACCCGGGTCGCACTTTGACATCTCAACTGTGAAGGCAGAGGCATTCTCACTGACCCCGAATCCCTACCCGGTCGCGAAATTTCGCTTCCCCAGGATGAACATTGATGAAATGGGAAGAACCCAGTCGCATAGGTAAGATTGTGCACCAGCAGAAAACAAGATAATTCCAATGTCTCCAAAATATGTTACGTGAATTAAGAGCGTGCAAAGTTAGCTATCTCTTCCCTCCCCCTGATCGCCGGGCATGCCTTCCGGGTAAAATTGCTAATTTATGCTCTGAGCCTGCCCCCACTTTTTGAAGCGTTCCTACGGCTACATTCGCGTAATACATGTTCTCCAGCCATATTAAAGTTGACTGTTTGATGAGGGCGAGTGCCAGTTCTTGTTTTGCATTTCACTTTTTTATTGGAGTTGCAGTCACCGATGAACACAATACCATTTGGTCTGAACATGTTGCTGTGCCAGAACGTGAACTTTTTCGACGCGCTGAAGCAGCATTTTTCAGATTCCGTCATGATTGCTAGTGATTCAGCGCGGCGTTCGCCGCACGCACGTACCAAGAACTCGCTGCAGGGAGCCGGGGGAGGGGGGGGGGGCATTGTCCATGCACATCATATTGCTACATGCCTGGCTGGCTGTTGACTGGGAGAGGTGCGAATGACCTGAAGGCACACACTCGACAAACAACGTTTGATAGGTTTCTGCATTTAATGAAGTGATGTTGAACGATTAAACTGTAACGTAAATTGCGTCCAATATGTTGCACGCGTTGTACGTTGCACGTTGTACTTCGATTACCAGGGGCGCTTCGTGGAGCATACACGTTTTGTACAGCATACGACCGCCTTTATGTGCGGCATGCGACCGGAAATCTTGGTGACCATACTGGATAACCAATGGATATTGGTGGAGTTCGAAAGTGCTGAGGCATGGCCTTGAATCGGCCGGCGAGGGCGTCCAGTGGGGTCGGCGACGGCCGACACACGTCGGGCGACAGGTGCCGATAAGTCGCCCTCGTTACACATTGTCCTGGATTCAAGGGCAGCACTAAACTAACTAGACCATCACAGCTTGGTCCCAACTAAAATAGCATGTGCAGACATCAGACGTTTGCGAACGTGTGGCAGTCCCAATAGCTCAGAGGCCTGCCCTTTAGGCCGGCAGTACAGGGTGGGGACATACAGGGCTTTTTGTGTCGAGATGGTTACGCTAGTGTTTGGATGACATGAGTCGCTGAAAGGGATTGCGTGTGATTTATGCCACTGCATCTCGCAAAACTGATTGATGTGAAAAGTGAAATAAAGAAGAGGTAGACATCGATATGAATGTAATATGTTGAACCCGTAGAAACGTACCAACCGCAAGGAGAGTATCACGTTAAAAGGGGTGTTTCACACGTGAATATATTAAAAGGATCATCAAATATAATGAAACAATCTCAGCTATAACTATTGGTGTACCTTTTAATTGGAGGAGACTGTTCTGCACACTACACTTCTCTGTTTAGAAAATATATTCCTCCATGCGTCATGGTTTGAAAACGTTGTTGTACCCTTGCACAACATTGTTTGAGAGCCAATTGACGGCCGTTCTATCTGGAAATCACGCTCACGAACACCGGATATGAACGCCTCGACAATAATCATGTTTTTCTTGGCCTTGATCGCCGCATGATTTATGGGATGGTGCAACTTGCATGGCCTTATTGTGAAGTCAGGACTGCCAATGTGACTTTGAAATGATCCTCCCCCCCCTCCCGATATATCTTTCCCAACTTTTGCGGGCGCGTAGCTCAGAAACTGGAGGGACTTAGGTATTAAGAAGGGCAGGATTGTGAACAGCACTGAAAGGTCTTCACTAAGGCTATTTTGCTTCAAAACTTCATATAAATGTGGAACACTTCCTTTAAGAAGCGATAGCAGAAAGTTCAGAATGCCAACGGAGATGAGTTTGCAT